GGGCGATGACATTCTTGGGAATGGTGGCAGAGAAGAGCAGAGTCTGGCGCGCAGAAGTTTTGGGGTCGGGCAGCTGATCGACGATAGACTGCAGCTCTCTCTCGAAACCGACGTCGAGCATGCGGTCGGCCTCGTCGAGGACAATCGCAGCCAGGTTAGGTGCCTCAATTCCACTGTAGGGGTCCTCGAGAAGGTCGTTGAGACGTCCGGGTGTACCAACGAGCAAGTGGCAACCTTCTCTACGGGTCTTGTGCAGCATCTCGCCCTTTCGTGTTCCACCGACGGCACGCTGGACGACCAGGCCCGTGCCCTGGCACAGCTTCTCGGCCTCGAGGGCGATTTGTTCGGCAAGCTCACGTGTAGGGGAGATGATGATTCCACGAATATCCTTGGAGCTGGCCTGGTAACGCGCTTTTCTGGTAGCGAGCGACGGATCCGCCGCAATCATCCTCTGCAGAATGGGAACGAGGAACGCCAGGGTCTTTCCGGTACCTGTCTTTGCTTGGGCGACACTGTAAGGTGGGTTAGTATATGATACGGCACAAGCGCGCTGATGATGATTCGACTTGACTTACAGGTCCATGCCCTTCAGTGCAGGCTCAATGGTCTTGCTCTGGACGTCCGTCATGTTCTCGTACCGCATTCTGTTCGTGATGGTGTCGACAAGGGTAGAGTGAACGCCCAATTTCGTCAGATCCGCGAATTTGGTCGTCAGACCCGATGCGTTTCCTTCATCCTCGGCGACCGGCGCGGCCGCTGCGCTGACGGCCTCGCTAGAGTAGAGTCTGAACGCATTAATGCTGAGTGGCACGCGAAGCGCGCTTGCTGGAGCCTTCGCGATCGTCTGGAGGGTGGCAGGTCTGGTCGTTCGGAGAGCCGGGGCGGCGAAGGTTGCGCCGCTGATGCGAGCGCACCTCCTGAGAGATTGGCGAAACATTTGTATGTATATGTGTGTGTTTGTAGGATGTGATTAAAAAACAGTAGCTACCGAAGAAAAAGGACGATACAATACAGCTCTTTGGTTCTAGAAAGAAAGAAAGGGAGTGGATGAAGGAGGGTGTGTAGGATGCAAATCTGTCGTCCTCTTTTTTCGCCAGTTGGATTGCGAGAAGGAGCTGGGAGACAGGAGGCGAGCCGATAAGAATTTTTTCCCATCCTTATCTGCCCATCACTCACGTTTTCTCTGAGCTTCGGTTGGTTCCTTTGGTTTTCGGTGGGTCTTTCCTGCGACTGACAGGGGACGGGATGGAACAGCCACTCATTGACGCGCCCCGGGACGCTCCGGCTTCGACCCCTGCGAGGCAAGCTTTTAGCGTCTCTCATGGCTCTCTTAACTCACTTGACGAAAGGTGAACCATCACGATCCTTTACTTGCGGCACTCACTTTGCTCAAGCAAAAGCTGAAGTCCCCACGATGAACAACAGCCGCTTAGCAAGCCCCTATTATTTTTTTATTATCTTTTTATTATTATTCAAATTAAACTTTTTTTAACTTTTTTTAAATAAAAAAATTGAATTTTTAATTTTCTTAATTTTTCTTATTTTTATTTTTATTTTTTTGCATGCCGGTCAGAACGGACAGTAGGAGGTCTGACCAAATTTATGACGGTTAGCCGGTGTGCTGTACTCCGTATCCCTGTTCAACATCGGTAGTCTTCCCTTGCTTTACCTATCATAATAATCTCATGGGAAGCAAATCTTGCTCATTTGGGCCAATAAATATCAGAGGTCATTGATTCATTAGTTCGAAAACGAGTTTCTCTATAACCCAATCCTTGCGCACCACCAACGATTCGTGGCGATGCGCTGGCCAGACTCCGATCTCTTTGATCATGGCAGGAAACCTCGCAGTCAAGTAACTTCTCAAGTAAGATGTACAAGACAGGAGGGCTCTCCCAGCTGAGACCAACCCAGCAAGCTAGTGTGAGCTATTGTAAAGCTCAGGTAGAGCCCGCTCCATCCCACACTTGGTCTAACTGAATCTTTCAGATGGAGATGTTCCACCTCAGAAAAAGCACCTGCATTTGCAGCAACGATACCTAACCTGACACAAGGAAACCAAGATATACTCCGAAAGTCTAAACCCGAAAATAATAATGATGAAATTCCCATATCATAGTGCGTTAAATGACCTCATTATCAGTCGTCTCATTGTCTCTTGGGCGCCACGATGGACAGCCCCTCGCCGACACCATCGGATAGACCTCCCGTGAGGCCCTCAACAGTCCAGGCAACGGCCTCCGTGAGAGCCTGCCCGAGCCTGCCATCGCCGACGTTGTACAGCGCCCCGGTTATGCGCATTCCCTTACTGCCGATCGCATTGGCGAGACCCATGCCCGCACCCACGAGGTTCTCCGATATTCGGTACTCCCTCTCCGTGCGGGCCGCTAACCGCAGCATGAGGATGATGTACGGCAGCGCCAGGTGGATGAGGATGAAGATGTTGACGACTGCGATTTGGACGCCCCGGTGAAGAATCGATCTGCCGTTGCTCGCACCCCGCGACGGAGAATACGCCCGACCGCCCGGACTTGGTGGCGGGATGAAATTGGAGGGCGTGGACGTGCGGAGTCGGTGAAGTTCGTGTTCGTTTAGGTCGCTGGGAAGGGCCTTGAGGATGTACTCGACGCCGTCGAGAAACGCTTTCCTCTCAAAATCGACTGCCGGCCGCCTTGACGGATGCCTTAATTCATCTTGGGCGACGGCGATCAAAGCAAGTCCTGTGAAGCACAAGGTAAGTCTGAGGCATCAACCAATATCACAACGGCTCTCACCTTGCTGGGCGAAGCGCCAATCTACGTTTGAACATTGACTAGACGCTTGTTGTTGCTGATAAAACTGTTCGGCTTGTTGCCGCTGCTGCTCATGCTTCTCGGCCGCTGATCGCACCTCGTACGTCCGGTGCTCTGTGGCCACTAAGCTCATGTGCTGCTCTTCCGTGCTCTCGGAGACGAGACGCGCCTGCGTGATGTTTCGGTGGACACCGTCGTCGAGCCCCGACAGGGTGCGGGTGTGTGATTGCCTGCTAGAGGTGAGGGTTTGCATGCTTGCGCTCTTGCGGATAGACCGCAGCGGCGGTAGCCGGGACTGAAGAGAGGTGGGCAGCATCGAGAAGACGGTCGATGACATTCTATTCTGCGGGAGAGTAATCTCCTCGAAAATGGGACCCCAGGGCCGTAAGGGGGGCATTGTGTTTTTATTATTCCCTCTTCAGCGGGAGGAAGGCGAAGGAGGGGGGTGGGCGCTACAATCCGTCCGTCCGCCTGTGTTGACAATCTATGGTTGTCGGGGAATTCGGTAAGATGGCGTGGCGGTCTGTTCTCGGTCTGCTGTTCTGGTAAGTCCCCAGGCTTGTGATGGCGAGGGCGTAGGGCGTTGTCGCCAGTGAAGGAATGTTACGGACCAAGAACGTCGAGATCTAGCCCAAGCGCCCGTTACTTTGCGACTGAGGGAATGTTATCGAGAAAAAGTGTTGATAAGAGATTGCCCCGCTGTTGTAAATCCCACGTTTAGATGTGCTTGCGGCAACGGTTGTATCCAAGTGAGAGTGGTTGGAATTTTTGAGTCCAAGATAGGTAGGATGCTAAGCAGAGGGTGGGGAGGACGGCGACGATGAATTGGCAAAAAAAAATTGTTTGACAAATCCAGGTCGAGTCCCAGGATAGTCAGTGGGTTTGAAGCTTCTTTGAGCGAGTTGCGAAATCCAAGGTGAGACAAAGAAAGCGAAGGAGGAGGGGGGGAAAAGGCTTAAGAGAAGAGGCAAGGTCAAGTAAGGCCAGTCACAGAGTGCAGTACCTACCATAGTAGAGCAAGGTAGTAGCAGGTACTTTGGAGTCTCGACTAAGAAGCGAAAGAACCTGCGAGTGGAGGGGGAGATGGAGTGTATCGGTTGGTAGTGGTGAATGCCCCGTTTCTACCCCCGGTTTGCGTCTTCTTTTTTTGGCAGTCGTTCCCGCTGAGGCAGGTAGGGGGCGGGAAATCTGATGGGCAGATGGATCGAATCGGCTGTGGCCGGCTCGCAGATAGTCTGATACGAAGTGGAAAAGAAAGTCCCGTCAGATGAGGGAAAGTTTACCTCATGTTTTGTGAGATAATACCTCTCTCTACTTTTCGAGTCTCTGCAAGCACGGTACCTTGGCTGCCATATGAAGAGTCAGAGAACGGTACGGATAACGCTGGAAAGAAAGGTACTTTGAAATGCTCATGTGTTTGTTACGTCCTACTATGCGCGTCCCAGCGTATTGCGTAGCAGGATTGCGCAACATGTTGGTCGAACCATAATACGGTAACTTAACACACAAAGACCACCCCCCCCCCCCGCCTCCCATCAGCCTTTTTTTTCATTCTTTCTCTTCTGTCTCTGCCCCATGCTAGTTATCCCAGGTTTCGTTCGCCTTGTTTTCTTCTTCGTGTTCTCCTCTCTGGCAGTGGATATGTCGTACGCGGTGAAGAAGGGGCCCACGGCGGAGCGACTTGCAGTCAAGTCAGTCAGTCAGTCAGTCAAAAAAAGCATGTGAAAGACAGAAATGTTGGGTCGAAGCGGGGCTCTTTATCGGTCTTGTCTTTCTCTATCTGATCCATCCATGCCACCCCATGCCCATAGCCACCCACCAAACACATGGCCCATGGCGCCAATGCAGCGAATGCATGAAGAGGTAGCCCTCACGCGGAAGTGTACGGATACGCCCTGTCTCTCTCTCATTCTCACACTCACTTTCCGAGTCTCTCGAGGGTCCCCACCTCATCTGCATGCGCGCAATTGGGACGCTAAGCGTTACAAGGGTCCAGTGTCAAGAGGCTCCTGGCATTCATGATCTCTCACACAGCACTGCGTAGATATCGCAGCAGAGCAGCGCGTGCAGCTGAAAGGATTGCAGTCTTTCGTCACGATCCTGCAAGTCATCAAGTTACCGTGTCGCAAAGCCCGGCTGTGTCACGCTGCATCTTCCTGCGGGACAAATTTTTCGAACCCTTCCCCCCCCATTGCAGGGGGAGCTGATTCAACCGTTGAACGAGCATCGCATGGGATCGGCAGGAAAAAGCCTCCGGCTGGGAGTGACATTCAGTGACACAACGTCTACAACCTCCAACCAACAACTCGGTGACGCTAGACGGCAACGAGGAAAACTGAATGGGAGGAGAAAAGCACCCCCGATGGAAACTAGAGAGAAAGTAGACTCGTACGACAAGTGAGATCTAGCCGTCAGGACACGCCGCCAAATCTTGGTACGGATACTGGGCTGTAGCATCCCGTGCCATGGACCCCTCCTTGAGCCCCTCCACGCCTTCCAACAATGAACTCTCTCACTCACCATTCCAACTACAAGATGAACCCATTTACATCTCAGTGATGGGTTGCTTACTTGCTTTTACCTATCTCTTTGCCACTGGCGCTGGTTATCTCCTCCTCATCTTGCCGCTACAGAGTTACATGGTAGGAAAACCTCGGAACGTTCTGATCAAAATGCGGCGTAAAGAGGGGTCTGTCTTGTCATCCCGAGTTTAGATTTCCAGCACCCGCTTCTTATCAGTCGAACGATACCAGTCGGAGAATTACCCTACCTTACGTACAGGGTGCAATACCGACGGCATGCCCATTCTGGGTAACCCTTGGAAACAGATCATGAGATCTGACATCTACACAAACAAGAAACTCATCAGTGTGACAAGCCCCCATGCTGCTGTACAACAACTCACCACGATCATCGGGGAAACGATGAAGAATCTGCCCGTGGCCCAGGCTCTGAATTCCACCTTTGACGACCTACACGCCTGTACCATGTTGCGCCCATGTCTCAGTCTCCGTTTTCTCTGCCTTACACAGTAAAGCCGCCAAACAATCATTCCATGCTTTGTAACAACCTCATAGTCCCAGTGCCAACGAATCTCAGCGGGATATGACCCCCACGTGTCTCTCAGAGAACGCAGGAACTCTCGCGCGCGCGCGTACGTGTGTATGGTTTTCCCGAGTCATATTCAATCCGTCCCGTGCTCCCCCGACTCGGAAACATGCAACCAACTTCCAAGGCGAAGGAGAAACAGGAGAAAGAATCCTAGCACAAGCACAAGCACGGGGAAAAGATTCCCACTCAGGTGGACTGGCTGTACGAATGTACCCCGTGGATAACTGTTAGTCGTCAGTCTCTAGAGGACATGGGTACACAAGGCGTGATTTCTGTATGGGGCTTGCATGTGCATGTGCCATCAACTGCATCGGGAGCCATAGTACGTAAGACAGAATCCCATCGCTGTTGCCACCCCCGCCAAGACATGAGCCCCCGAAGGCCTGTTCTGTCTGATACACAAGATAGCATCATGCGTCTCGGCCGAGAGAGAGACATGGAGCCTCAATCACATGTGCTGTGCTTGCAAAACCGTGATGCCAAGGTCAGATAGATACCGCGGGCACTTGGGATTTGTCCGAGTAATTCGAATAATTGTGATAAATGAAATGTTGTCTCAAGGTACCACGACTTACATTCTACGATACCTCCTGGTTCTCCGTATGTATGCATTTACATGAAGATACTCCCTCCTATAAACTTGACTTCTCACATCGCAGAAACATAAGTCGAAAAAAGGCCCCGCTCAAGGACGTGATAATCCACATCAAGCTTTCGCTTTCGAGCAAGCGCCAACCGTGACGAAACGAAAGCGAGTTAAGCCACTAGAGATGTCAAGCGCGTGTTATTTGAAAAAAAAAAAAAAAGACGATGAACTAAAACGAAAGAAAACCTCTCGACAATGGTACTTGAGCGGACGGCGCAAGGGCTTCCCGCTTAAGGTACTCGATAAATACCGAGCATGGCGGCACCTTATCTCAAGCAGGTTTCGAACCGTTCAACCTTAGTACGTGCTTATTAAGCCCGAGTCATTAGGGTCCTATGTCTTCTCGACGCATAGTCAAGCTAGATCTAGCATCGCGCCATCAGCCGGCTAATTCCAAGGTCCCGAGGGAAGAAAGTGACGTGTGTCAGGCAGCGTGAGGTAAGTAGGCTCCTACACAATGTTGGAGGCATAAGAAATATGTGCCATTATATCCTCATCCATCATCCTCCAAACTAGACTGAAGCCGGAGAGCTCTTCACTCTCGGCTGATTCTGTGCGAGTGTGTATGTGTATGTGAGTGTACAGAATTCCCAAATGCACATACCCCGCCAATCCCTCCCATGCCTTCAACAAGCCAAAAAGACGTACGCTGTGAAAAGGCCATCGCATTCATCCTCTCCTCCCAAAAGGCTATGCTGCCTTCTCCGCAGCAATCTTGGCCTCCATCTTCCGCCGCGCCGCCAGAATCATCTCGTCCCTCCGCTTCTGCAACAGCGACTGCCTCTCGTCCCTGTTCGAGCTCCACCCTTTGGCCGCCTTCTCCTTCTCCTTCTCCGCGACGGCGGCGGCGGCGTCCGCTTCCGCTTGCCGTTGCTGCTGCTGTGCCGAGATCTTATCTTGGAGCTTGTAACGCGTAATCAGGTCCGGTTGCGTGGGCTTCTCAGGCGCCTTGGCCGGTGTCGAGGAGCTGGACGCTGCGTTGTTGGCTCCCGGCGGGGGAGGGGGCTGGAAGGTGATTGGGGGCTGTTTGACGCCACGTACCAAGGTCAGCAAAAATGAACTGCGCTACATCAAGAGAAAGTGATCCAGGGGCATGGTAGACCACAGCCATGGTAGATCACAGCCATGATGTTGTCGCTGGCACGCGCATACTCGGCACGCCGAGCTTTCGCCCGAGGTGAAGTTGGGAAAGGCAAGGGTTCAAACTCACAGCTTCCATCCGTCCTGCAAGAATCCTCTCAGACGTCGCTTGGATGTTCCCGCCATTTCTCTGTAGATCCCACAGAATCGTCCGTCTGTCCACTTGCGGGAACATCTGCTGTATCCTCTCCACGGCCGCCTCGCGCGTGCGTAGTACCGCTGCGGCGCTCTGGCGCGGCGCCGGTGGCGGGGCTGGCGAGAAGAACAGGAATCGTATCACGAATGCCGTCACCAGAAGTATCATCACCAGGTACGGCAGCGAGATCTGCTCGTTCGCCATCGCTGCGGATTCTATGTCTGTGTCGTGCCGGATTGGCCGGTGGAAGTTGTCGCTTTGGCGTAAGGCCGGAGTGTTTGTGGACTTTCGCTATCGGAAGTGGCGATTGGGAGCTCGGAGCGGTGTAGGCCTCATGGAAATTGCAACACAAATAAAGAGAGTCGGAGGAGCGTATGGCCGCTGCGCATGGGATATGAATGAGGTCGGATTAGATACGTGGAGTCCCGCTGGCAGCTTTTATGGAGTTGATGAGTTCATCAGCCCTCCACAGGGAGCAGGGGTTTGGAGCTTATGTGGAAAGTGGCGCGCAGTCGGAGTTACCCGCGCTTTTCCGTGTGAGGCAGTCGAGCACGGACCGCCCTAACAACTACCAAACTCAAGCTTGCTAAGGTATCTTCTGAGTACTTTTCTCCGTACGGAGATGTCTTCAAATAAAGGTCCAGAACAAGAGGAGATATCTCTTGCTATACCAGGCGCTTTTACACGCCAGAAAGGCAACATCACGGATATTTGGAGGCACGGAAATAGAAGACAGTTTTCGTTCGCAGCATCGGCGTCGTCATTTTATTTCCCTTCGTTTGACGGCCGTGGGTAACTCCCATTGATCAGTGATTCATACACACAAAGCAGCGGCAGATATGCGGCGGCTGCCATTTGCCTGGCCAGCTTCATACCAGAAGCCTGTAAAACCATGCCGTATCAACATGACTTAACGCCTGTCGGGTCTCATGCCCAGTGCCCAGGTACCAAGTCGTTTCCAGCCTCGTCAATAAAACGAGAAAGCCAATGAACCATAAACCCCAAACCAACTATGCAACCGGTTGTGCCAGATTCGTCTCCAGGTCACCGTAGTGGAGAGTGAGTTCTCTCTGTACTCAAGGTTAGTCATTTACGCTCAATATCTGAAAGAGAAAAACCCAAGACGTACCCGCTCCTTGCGCCAGTTGGTGGTGTCCCAGACGATGTAGTAGCCGCGTTCATGGTGGGGACCAAGGCTAGCGGGCATCATGAGCTCGTCTTTGGTCAGCCAGAAATGCAGCTTCTTGTGCCAACGCCAGTTTCGGCTGTGCCTGCACGGTTGTTAGCAGTGGCCACATCGGATGTAAGGAATACGTACAACTCGACTGCAGCCAATTGTTGCTTGACGTCCTGTGTACAGCTGTAGAAGATCCAGAACAGGGTTTCCTCGTTAAACGACGGAATCTTGGTCTCAATCGGTTGCACATTGGTCACCTTGTAACACTCAGGAAGCCGGACACTGGGAATCGCGGGACGCGGAGGCGTGTCGTCGAAGAGAGAGTAGATCTGCGTGGAGATGAGACTGTCACAGTCAGTAAGCGTGTCTTCATGAAAAGTCGGACTGCTTACTCTGGTGAGTTGACGTTAAGTCCGAACTCGTTGGGGTCCATTCCCTGCATCAGGGCGCCATAACTAGGGTAGTTGTTCATGAGCACACGCAAACCCTTCATGCCGAATTTGTCGATAGGCGCCATTCCCGCCAGAGGGTCCTGCACGTCGGGCGATTGGCCTTCCTTCTCCTCTTTGGCCTTGCCGTTGCCAGTGACTGCGTCGTTGCCAATTGCTCCAGGAGGGTTCCTGGTCTCTACCGACTGAGATGCGCTGTCGCCACCAGTCTCTTCAGAGAAAGAGTTGCCTCTTTCGGCCGATGCCTCTTGTATTCTTGCTTGATCTATATCGCGTCAGTGAGTGTTTTATCGTCCGATGAGGTGGGTTCGATATACCTTGCACGCTAGCGATGGAAGGTGAGCGACCATCTGAAGTTCTGCTGTTCGCGGAGAGCGCATTGAGAAGACCGTTGCCGGCACCTGCGCTTCGGGCAGGAGGTATCGCGGCGGTTGAGCCGCTCGCCTGGCTGCCACCAAAACCCAACGAGGGCATCAGGTTAGCACTTCGCTCACCGCCGATTTCGCCGTTTGAGTTTCTGTTCAAGGGCGGAAAATCGTCCACGGGATTAGATTGGGCTTGAGGCGCCGGACCTGCGCTGCTCTGGCCACCGAAGCGGAAGGCGCCTTGGCGAGCCGAAGTTGGCGTGAAGAGCTCGTCCTGGCCGCTCTGAGCCGACAGTGGCGTCGACTGCTGGTTGCGCGGCACTGGACCAGCACCCAGGTTTCGCGACGCTGTTGATGACCACATGTTTGATTGGCCGGTGGTGTTCATCTGGGCGTTGTTGGAGAGGGATGGAAATTCGCTACTTCAGAAGTCAGTACCACTGTCGTTGCCAGAAACCATGGGCAAAGCAGTCGCCCACGATCGCGCCAGATGCAGTGATGAGGAAGGGGAGGATATAAAAATACGTCTTGAGGACATCCGCGTAGCCCTTCTTGGGCTTCTCGCGAGGCGAAGGAGACGAAGCTTTTTCCATCTTCTCTTGTCTCGCTGCTTTCTTTCGGACAAGACGTTGCCTTTTGCCCATGATGAAAGGAAGAGAAGAGACAAGAGCTAGAAAGACCCGAGAAAAATAGAAAGACCCAAGTACGGCTGGCCGTGGAGCTCGAAATGCGGCTGGTGCTACTACCTTGGGTGGTGATCGTGGGGAAAGCGGTAGGTGGATGTGCAGGGTAGCCGGTGAGGGAGGAAAGAGGAAAGAACGTACGAAAGGTCCAGCGGCGTTGCCGGTTGCGACCCGCTTAAGCTCTGTGCAAAGCTCACATTTCCTCCAAGTTGACGGGCTTGATTTGGCAGACCAGCACCTCCCATGGGCACTCCTCCTCCAAATGCCCAGCCAGATCCATTACTGCCTGTATATTCCAAGAAATTCCACGTTAACATCAGGTCTTCCTGCTGGCACCACCCCCCTGTACCCAGTCACACCACACACATGGAGACGGAGCTGAGTGTCCCTACCTATTTTGCCATTTGGTAACCTGTTTGATACTGCCCTCCCAGCTTGTTGTTGTTGCTGCTGTTGTTGCTGCTGCTGGCCACCAAAACCTGCCGGTATGCCACGCAGTGATTGAGGAGCTACTCCTACTGGTTGCGCCCATTGTCAGCTTGGAGGTCTTGCACAGTGTCGCCTGAGAGTAGCGAGGCTCGAAGCCATCGTCTTCAAGAGTAGCGTGTGTATGAGGGGTCCCTTTTTGTCCATCCAGAGGCCGTGTTTACGTCGAGGTGGATCAGCGCTGGATCTCGAGGATGAGGGCTACACGTCGACGCTAGCAGTGGCAACGATCTACTGAGAGCATCATCGGTGGCGTGACGTTTCGCGTGCATGATTTCGATGCTCCTCAAGCTTTCTCGACGATATAGAGTCGCGGCGACCACAATTGAGAGGTGCGACGAGATCCAAGTGGCCTTGATGGACATGCAAACGGCGGGGTACCCCGAGGCTGAAAGGGGACGACTAGAGGGTCAGGCCTACCTGGTCGATTCATGATGAAGGCTCGGGGAGTATACGGTCGCTATCGGGAGTCGCGTTGTATGGTTCGTCGTCGCGGAGAGTTCGGGGATCAATTAGGATGCGTTCGTGGTCGAGATGGCTCGAAAGATTATTCTACCTCCAAGCTTGCGCACGAAGGAAGCTCTATGCGGATTCCTGGTGTACAGTGTACAGACGTCGAAGCCCAGCCAACACTAACGCGCGGAGGACCGGTCAAAGATGGATCCGATGGCCTGTGCGCCCAGGGCCCCTCCAAAAAAACCCCTGCATCAGTGCAAACACGCGCTACTGCCGTACATACACCTGGGGCCTTTTTTTGACATCATGTCCCTTCCGACACATGAGATGGCAGCTTCCAGCATGCACTGATTTGGTGCTTTCCACCAGCCGAGGCACTCGCTTTCCTGCTACAAAGTCACTCACGCTGCTGTTTCTGAACGGTAGTCTCTACACGTCTTGCAGTCGATGTCTCAATGATCACAAAGCCATTGAAGCGCATTGTGTCTCAGAAGTTCTATTCATATGCTCGAATTGATTGCATCCACCAAGCTCTTCTCAAAGTCGACGCCCTTGAGGTGTCTCCCAATGAGAATGATTTTACCTTCCTGAGCTTGTGTGGCCTCGCGCGATTGGTCAGGCGAGTCTAGAATCTCGAATATCTCTCTCACGCCCTGGATGAGTTTGACATCGCCGTTATCAAAGACGAGCCGCCCCTTTGACCGATGGACCTCGAGCGTCGTCTTCTCGTCCCCAGGAAGCTTACGGTCCCAGAGGATCTTTCTCAACCACCAGTCGATCTCCTCCAATTGTGATGGTGCTAACTTTGGCACTGGTATCGAGACTGTCGATATAGTCTGCACTTTATCAGCAAAAGAGATATGCTACGACTTTCATGGAGTCACTCACCGAATCTAGATGACTGTGGCCCTTTTGGCTGGTGTCGAGCTCCGTGACCTGGTCGTAGGCATGCAAATCGAGCAAGAACCCTTCCAATTTCGGCACCTCGCTCTGCTTGGTGACGTGTATCTTGGCGAGTCCATTGATAGACTCTATCCTCGACCTGACCTGCCTCAACTCTTCTTCGGAAACCAGATCCGACTTGTTGATGACGATGACATCAGCATGCGATATCTGGACGTGAGCCGTCGTCATGAGCGGACCGTGACTGTGGCCGTCATCCTCTTTGTGATCCTCGTCGATTTCAATCTTGCCGGCGGGATCATCAAGGCTGCGAAGAATGTTCTTTGCATCTACAAGAGTCACGATGCCGTCCAAGTAAATTGTGCTTCCTAGCCCATCATCGACCCAGAACAGTGGCGCAAGGTTACCAGGGTCCGCAAGGCCTGTGGTCTCTAGCAGGATGTAATCGAACGCGCCCTTCTTCTCCATGAGCGACTCGATAGCGTTGACACCAGTGTCCCTGGGCGTGTCAATACAAATGCGACTAGTTGATGGGGGTTCCTACTTTACGGAGCAGCATATGCAGCCGTTGCCGACTTCAAGCCACTCCTCAACTTGTTCATCGCCTTTGTTGACGGTGAGCGACTTTTCGATATCGAGAGCTGAAAAGCGTCAGTAGATTCAAATGCGTGGTGATATCCGAGAAAACTGACAGTCGCCGAATTCTGCGAATAACATCAGTATAATGCTCCCCTGCACATTTGATCATGCGATTGGCTTACCGTTCATAATCACGGCAATTTTCTTTCCATGTTGCGCCGTCAAGATGTAGTTGAGCAGCGTTGTCTTTCCAGCACCAAGATAGCCCGTAACGATTGTGATCGGGACCTTGATCTGGCTCTCCGATGGTGGCAGGTCATTCTCAGCAACGGTTCCGGCCTCTACCAGATCAGGCGGGGCATCATCATCGAAATCCATGCTAGGATGGAGGGGAACCCTGCGAGAGAGCTCAGACCAATTCGTTACTGCTTCAAAAGGCGAGTGGAAGAAGGCAGCGAGTGCCTTGCAAATGACTGAAAGTTTTGTAGGTCTCGGAAAAAAGGCAATAGAGTCGAGAGAGTTCTCAGTGAAGAATACGCCCTTCAACTGACTTGTCAAGCGAAGAAAGTTCCCTAGGCACGAAGGAAGTAGTATTCAAGGCCCGGGGTACGTACCCATTTGACGTCGTCAGGCCCCACACGCCGGCACTCACCCAAAAAAAAAAAATAGAAAGAAGGACACACGACGATGGCCGGGGATGGTTTTCTGACTAAGCCGAGCTGGGGTGTGCTGGGCTGCGACAACAGCGACACAGCAGAACCAGGAGCTCTGGCCCCCAAAGCGCTTTCATTCGATGTGGGTGACCTGGAGCTCTTGATTAGCCGCCCGACCACGACTTTTCGCCCAGCTTGAACAACACAACCCATCCACGACACACCAACACATCTACGACAGTCTGCGACCGCGAATACTGGAGGCGCAAAGGGGGGAACACAGCAGCTCTCGAACCGCGGTTGCAAAATACTGTCCAGTCGCTCGTTCTCTTCTGCATCGTCTTCATCACGGAGACCAACCCCCGATACCATACCATACCACACCACAACCACTCGATCACCTCCTTTCACAATGGCAATGGCGCCGAGCTCGCCCCGGCTGCCCAGTCCGCCGCCGCCCGCTGAGATCCAAATCGGTCCCAAATCCCCTTCGATGGGTGCGCAATCGAATCGCGAAGCCTCGCCGATGGAGCAGTCTCTCATCGAAGCCAACTCGAGGCGTCGCATACACCCGGGAACAAAGGCCGCCGACATGGCTGCTGGACCGCCGCTGATCCCCCTTAATGAGGTTCGTAGCATCGCACACGTGAACAGCCAAATTCAATCTTGTAATTCTGCCGCTGACATACAATCTATTTACATAGCTCGACTCGGCTTTCCAGCTTCAGGAGCATCTCGCTGCCCTCCATTACCACCACACCAAGAGCAACAGCGTTCCGATAACCCGCACAACCGCTATCCAGCTCGCGACGCCCCCGCCGGGCATCGACCGCACCCTCTGGTTGTACGAGCTGTGTCGCTTCCTGATCTCGCAATGCAACACCCTCATCGTCGGCTTCCTTTTCGACTCCCCACCCTGCAGCGCGGCGACGTGTCCCGAGATGCGCGCCTCAGAGTGGCAGTTTCTCTGTGCCGTCCACGAGCAGCCCAAGAGCTGCTGCGCCATCGATTACTGCTGTCACACGCTTGACTGGGCCGCCAACATCGTCACGGACCCCAAAATCTTCCCCTCGCGCTTCGTCGTCCTCTCCGATGTCCACAACAAGGGGGTCGCCGTCAAGAACCTCGTCAACGTCTTCCGCCGCCTCCACCGCATCTTTGCGCACGCCTGGTTCCAGCACCGCGCTGTCTTCTGGACCATTGAGGGTCAGACTGGCCTGTACGTCTTCTTCAAGACCGTGTGCGACATGTACGACCTCCTCCCCGCCGAGAACTACAAGCTCCCGCCTGAGGCCGAGGGCCTGGAGACAGCGACGGCGGTGCCTGATGCCAACGGTGGCGATAAGAAGCAACTTCCAATGTCCATTGTGAAGCCTAGCCACCGTGAGAGCCTCGGACAGAGCGAAGACGACAACTTCCAGCCTGTTGGCCGTACTGCCACGAGACGTCACGTCAGGGCGAGTCCCTCTGTTGGCAGTGCTGTGACGACAGTGGTGGAGGCTGACGAAGAAGACAACGTTGTAACAAACAAATTGCGGGAGATGCGGATCTCTGCCCCTGAAACGCTCGAGGAGGAGCCTGAAGTGGCCGACGTGCCGGTGATTGTTGAGAAGGAGATTATCGGGGATGCGTCGCCCACAGAAGAGAAGGAGGAAGCCGCAGCGGCAGAGCCTCAAGTGGTTGAAACCGACTACCCTGACACAGAATCCGATGCGGAAACAACTTTGGTTTACGAAGAAAGTGAGCGCGGCATGGCCCACGTAAACCAACCGCGGCCAGACTTAAACTTCGGGGAGGATGAGGAGGAGGACGTTCCTGCAACAGGAAGCGAAGCAGCAACAGAAGGTGCCGACGAGGCTAAAGAGGCAGATGACAAGACCGCAGACGACACTCCCGCTGCAGCAGCCAAGGATGATGATGAGTCTGGCGAGATTCCAGATGTCAGTTTTCATGACTTTGCTCAGGAGTCGACCGCCAAAGCAGACGAGACTACAACGACAACAGATGCTGCAGACACGGACAGCAAGGCCGAAGAAGCTGACAAGGCCGAGGAAACGGGGCCCAAACATGAGGCAAAGGAGGAGAAGGCGGAGGAGGGCGAGGGGGATAAGAAGGAGGTATGACAGAGGGATAAGCAGAAGACATGACAGAGGGAGGATGGGGAGATTTAATGACTTTGCGTATTGATGAATGTTCAAGTTACAGACTTGTCGCCTACCCGTCAAACCCAGGGAGTGGTGGTTCTGAGTTGGGCGGGATACTGGTAGACCGTTTTTCATCTTCTTTTCTATTATTGTAATGAGACGAGGTCCACGTATGTGTATAGTATTCTTCTTCATTTTGGAGGGTCTTCTCTTCAAGAAAGTCTCGTGATATTTTTGGTCAAAACGTATCACGAGGATGTGTTTGTATAAATAAGAAGGGAAAATAGGTTTCACACAATGTCTATGTCTAACAGAGGAGCAAGAAATATGTGTGTGAGGATATGAAGAAAGAGAGTGAAAAGAATGTCCAAGAAAGATAACCACAAAATTTATAATACATTAATCCTACTACAATGGTGTAGAGAATAATCGGATAGGAGAGGGAAAAAAAAGGGGGGCCGAATGGAAATGGAAACGGGAACGGAAAAAGAAGACCCAACGCCAAAATGCGTATGACCTTTGCCAGGGTATGGCGTGGCCTCTATGGGTTTAAAGATGTAGCCCTCTAGATATAAGGGGGAAGAATGCAGAAATGCCGCCGCTTTGTTTTGATCCGTCGTCCATGCTCGAAGCTTTTTCCCCTTTCGTTTTTACCGTATGACCTTCCCCTAACGATCACTCCCAACGAGCTCTGAACGAGCTCCTAATTTTCCACTCCATCTCCCATGATGAAAATCGTATGCCGTTCAACTTCTCAGCCACGGTGTCTGCCGAGTTGATCAGGACTTTCCACCTCCTTTTTATTTTTCTCGCTCGAAACTTTTCCCTTCCCTCTTTTCCCCTCTTCCCCCCAAAAGTTTGTCGGTTTCAAGATCTATGCAGCCTGGGTTGCATTCTCCGCCATTTGCATCTTTGCGAAAATGTGTCTGACTTCTCGAAGGTTCTCCGCCTGGGCGGATGCGGCGTTGGCGTTGCGTTCATCGGCAAAGGTCCGTACGTCCTGCAGGATCCGGCTGTAACCCTCGTCGTTGGGCAGCCACCAGCGCACACAGCTGGGCTCGTGGAACATTTCGGCCATCTTGGCGCGGAGTGATATCGGGTGAATATATCTGTGTACATTTCGATCAAAAGTCAGCGGGCCCTGTCCCATCGTGGGCGAGGTCAAAAGCAGAAGGCTGCAGCCAGGATTGTCCACGTACCCCATAGTCTCTAGCAAAGCAAACTTCTTCCGGATCCAGTTGTGATGTTTGGCGTCCTGCGGTAGGAATAACGCCGATAGAGCAATGCAGGCCTGAATCAAGATCAAACTGCCCCTCGGGCTCGACGGCCACCTCTCGACAGCCTCAAAGATTTGGCAGATGGCGTATGCGTGGCCTCTCAGCTCGCCGTATAGATGTTCCCGCTGCGTCGTCGATGACTGACACTTGTGCATCATCATGGTAGAGTTGAACTCGCTGGTAAGTAGCGTCGTCGAGAATATCGGGAAATCGTACAAGACTCCTGTGATAAACGGGTCGACAATGTCGTCTTCGCCTAGGGGGGGTGCGTGGCTAAAATCCGTGACGTAGTAAGCAGGGTCAGTAAGGGCGTGGTCCCATCCGTCTTTCCAGCCCTGTAGCGAGTTTTGCAGTCGTTCGTGCTCTGTAGCGAAATCTTCCGGTGTTATCTGGCCTCTGCTACCCCGGGCGAAGAGGGTAGACATTTCTCTTGAAATAACCCGCAGGCGACCTGATTCCGCTTCCAGTTTCCAGTGCAGACTGTCTGCTTCGTCCGAGACGGCTTGCTGATCGCAGTATTCTACAAAAGTTATGAACCACTCAGGGGCTAGCATCGTGGGAAAGCCGCCCATCATAGCGATGAAGATGTCGAAGCGTCCATACCAAGACACAATCATTCTACCAAGAGGGGTCTGCGTAGCCGTCTCAGGTGTGAACAAATGTGTCAGCATCTCGAACGCAGCTTTTTGATGCCCCATGAGGTTAATCCAGTCGCCCAGATACTCCTGTATCTTGAATTAGCCACATCTCTGTTTTTCATCTGTATTCGGGGACCGCCGTACCTCGATTGTGGCAAGCTGAAGGACGGTTAATAGCATAGCAACGTTATGCTTCTCTTTCCTCTTCAATGAGTTGAGCAGCAGGATGACACTCTTGTTGTAGTATTTCAAAAACTCCTCCATCTTGCCATTGGGATCTTGTATCGTACGCTGGTAGGCTGCGAATCCCACGACCGCGTACAACAGAGCCTCGTTCTGTATCGCAAAATTCGGCAGAATGACGCGGAAGAACTCGTGTGCGTCAGTGAGCATGCAGTAATGATAGTGAGTAACGTTTTCGCAGAAGTATTCCAGATGCTGCCGGAGGTCGGAGGGCAAATGTGACCAGTCGGCGTGACCACCTAGGGATAATATCGCAAGATCCGGCATCGTATATGCGGTGGTTGTTTGGCTGCTCGCGGTAGAAGTTGAAGGCGAGGCGCTCTTGGTCCCCTCGTGTGATGGCGTCTCGGAGCCGTGCCGTGTACCTCCTGTACGTTGCAGGTTGAAGGAAGAAGCTGTGCTGCTTCTACTCGGCCCAGAAAATTGTCTCTGAAAAGACTCTTCCTCTCCTTCGTCCTCGTCGAGGATGGTGTCTAGGCCGGCGGGTTCGGTGTCATCCTCTCCGTCTTCAGCATCGTTTGAAGAACCCGGACTGGCTTGCTGTTGAGTAGGAGCTCCATCTTTGGACGAAGAGCCCTGTGCTGGAGATCCTTTGGCTGCTGGCGGCTCTGGATAGATACATTCGCGGCTACCTTTTCGACACCCTATGGTCATGTTAACTATGCGACACGCAGACACCTCTTCGGCCAAACATACTATCGCAAACTGGCCGGCTTTCATCGCACTACCTTGAGTCAGAAGACTATGATCTTGCAGAGGACGCGGAGACATACCTTCACTCTTCTGCTCCTACACATGTAGCAACCGGACCGTGTTCGTCGATGCTTGACGTGATCTAAGCCTGAAGCCGACTTTCTTCGGTTCCTCGAGGATTTGGGTGCAGTAAGCCCAACGGGGTCAGGGAAGCCTGTGAAATATCCAAGGTTGGGATATGGCCCAGGCATGGCACCACCCATCATGGACATCTGAGCGCCTGGAAATTGGGGAGGATGTATGTCCTGCGGGCTTGTACTTTGGCTAGCTGCCACCCCCGTCATGGAGGTGAGAAAATGGTGATAGTAGTCCCCCATATTTGCGGCTAGAAGTGGCCGACGCTGTTGGTTTTTAGGTGGAAGGCAAGGGACTGAGAAGATCAGGTTTTGTGGATCGTGTGCTACGATGACCTTGCGGGAGCTGGCATGCTCTGCCTGTACTCAGAAGGACCGCAAATCTGTATCCCTTGGAGTTCGTGGGTCGCTAATCGTGACGGCAATGCGAGCTATGGTGGGGTGGCCAGACTAGGCGGAACACGTCTGAGCAAGCCAAAGGATGGAGTGAGCCGAGTTGTTGTTAGGGAACGAACTCCTTGAGGTAAAAAGACGGAAAGTTGTGGAAGGAGGAGCCGCCCGGATAGAGGGACGCGGTGGCCCGGCTAGGTAGATCAAATCGGGAGCTTGAGATGGCGAGCTGGTGGAATCTGATCCGGAGCATGGATACTGTTCCTTCAAAGCTGTAGCTTGAATCCGTGGCAACCTACGTATTTCATAAGAATGGCTAGGGGAATAGCAACGGCGGACCCGGCATATGTCGAGAGGGGTCTGTGGTTGTAGTTGTGAGCGGACTTGGGAGGGAGATTATTCGCTCCTTGTTTTGGGGGAAGTAGTGAAAGGGCGAACTGTGCCACTCAGAAGAGGGTCTCGGTCACCCAGAGCCACACCAGTTCTTTCGATAGCTTTCACTGCGGGTGGTGATGACGGTAGTGGGGCGCTGGGACGGCCACAATGTAACTGGGTTGACTGGAGAGCGGGTATCGCAGCTCGCGCTCTGTTGATCTGCTGGCGGGATTGGCGTTATGGCGGGGGCTCCTGGAAGCTACTACGCTAGGAAGGGAAGTCAAAACCTAGACAGAGATGGCGAGGTGGTGTTGTCTGGCCTCCGTGTCCGAATCGATCCCGGCAGAGCTCAAAAGCACTTGGGAGCTGTTGAGAATGTGGAGGGCCGTTGTGGTTGGCCTAAGCCTAGTTGGAACTCAAGGGCCTGGTGAAGCGCCAACTGGCATGAAGATTGGTCCTGAATATCGACGAGGAAGAAGAATACGCCGTATCGTGTGATGAGATACACGGCAACGGCTTGGTAAGTATCGATGTGCCTTGTTCCACTCACTTGGACCCGACAAGGGGATGAGATCGAGTGGAGGGGTTGCCGAAGAGATTCAAGCAGATGAATACGTCAGATCTGAAGACTCGAAGCCAGTGGTAAGGCCAAAAGTGAGACGAAACTGCCCAAACATGTGGGTATTGTAGCTGCGTTACAGCCAGAAGAGACGTGGAATGTAGACTCCAAAGTCAAAAAGTCCGGTGGTGCGTGATGGTGTACGGGTGGGTGGCGCCAAGTAGGGAGCGAGAGTCGACCAGATAGGTAGCTCTGAGGTGGCCTAGAGTATGTGACTTGCCGAAAATGTGAAATGTCTAGACGGTTGGACAGTCCACAACAGTAATAGTACTCTCAGGAATGGACTGGGATAGAGAACGGTTGTCCTGAAAAGTGATGAAAGAAGCTGGCGCGGGGTGAAGGGGTTTTTTGGCGCAGCCACCCTTGCGAGCTCTGTGTCTTGCTGGTGGTTCCCTAGCCTCGGGAGAAGCGGTTTGGAAAGACGGCTCTAGATTGATTAAGGTTCCGGGATGGCGCGTGAGTGCTGGGGCGGCTGAGGCGTGGCAGACGCTGGCAAGAGGCCGATCCAAGGCGTGATATGGAGTCCCGTCACCACCCGTGTCTACTGATGAACGTGGCAACGGCTGGTCGTCCTAAGCCCAAACGGCTGTGAATGTCCGGGCTGTGCTCGAATTGGTCTGGCCGTCTGCCCAAAGTCTTAGCATAGGGAGAAGAGTAAAGATCGTCCGACCCAGCGGTACCGGTAGACAGGTTCGACTCACCCCTCAGCCTGAAGAGATGGGTTTCCTCCTCACTTGCGTACAAAGTACAAAAGACTCTGGATCAGGAACTGGACTGGACGTCAGAACCCGACGGAAGAAGAGGCACAGATAAGCCCTGGCAGAAAGATGAGACAAGGGTCTTGTGTCTAAGGTGATGTAACGGGCCAAAGCAAGCGCCCAGGTCGGTGGTGGGGGCAAAGCTGGGAATGAGCTTGCTGGGGTTGGGCGGAAAAAGCAGACAGTTGAAGCCCTGTCAACATCTGGTTGTTGAAGTTTGATCAACACCAGGCTAGCTGAAAATGATGTGGAGGTTCCTGTTGTTGATCTGATGTTCTGATCTCGGATCCCGCGAGAGAAGAGCCGTGACAGCTGGGCATACTCGCCCTGGAATCGACATGGATGAGTGAACGGCGGCGTCCTCACTAGTTGCTTAGTACGACCCAAGTTGCACATACATCGCCGCCAGGCCCATCCTTTGAAACCGCGTTCCTTGAAAGCCTGCCCGCGCAAATTTGCCGTGTAGCGCAAATGCGTTGAGCGGCGCCAGCGTTCGTCTGGCAGTTTAAGAAAACCGCGGGCGCGTTCTTCTGTGCCACTCTAGCGCGGAACTTGTCCAAGCCCTGGCGTCCAGTCACAACTCTAGGCCTATAAGCTCGTGTTAAAAGGTCACTCTTAGACAATGTGGGCCTGGTCCTGTCTAAGACGGCGGAGATTGATGATGGGAAGCTCCCGTGGATCTGTTGACAGCTATCCGTCACAATTGGGGTGTATTGCTCGGAATGATCGTATTCGAATTTCGAACCATATGAGTAGTATCCGCAGCAAGATGTCGCCCGCCGAGTCCGAGCTATCGTCGCTAGCAGAATTCGCAGAAAGGAGTCAAGGACCCGTGGAACACAGCCAATTTGCAGCGGGACGAACGGCCAGAGGCACGGTGGAATGCCAGAAGAAGGGGACTGACCGGCAAGGCACTCATGGATGCTTTGCGTGTTCCCAGGCTGTCGGGGCGTCGAGCCATGGGCTTGGTGGAGGCATCAGGAAGAGGAGCAAGACGGAGAGTCCAGCACCCCTCATCAACCCTAGCCACACCCACACTCCACACCCACTTCCAGGTCTTGGGTCCCAGGTTTTGGTGTCATTGAAATAGTGAAGGGGGTGTCGTTGGAGCGGGAGCACAGACATGGGGTCGGGAGGTGCGGCCGGGGTGGTGTGGCGGAGGGCGCAAGGGCAGAAAACAGATGTGAGAGCAGTAGCGGCAGCATAATCTAGCTTTCTTGGCTTTGGGAACCTGATGCCGCTAGCGCCCATGCTTAAAAGGCGGCGGTCCTGAGGATGGGACGAGAAATGAGTTCAGGTCGGTGCCTGTGCTCAGTGACATGTCGCACTCGAGTGGAGAAGCTGGATTTGGAGAACGGGAGTCGGCGGGATCGAAGGGGGCGGGCGTTGACAACAAGATGCAACTGAGGGAGCGACTCGATTCAGTACTGAGCCGTCTGACGGTTGAGAAAAGGAAATCGTCGCAGCTGAAGCACCACAAAGCTAGCAGGATGCCAGGGGAGGGGACCGGCCCTGGCAAAAGGGTACCTGATTGAAAGTTTTTCCGCCCTGTTGGTTCATGTAATCCCAGTGCCTGGGCCGTTCCCCCCCTGTGGTCCCGAGAAGCTCGTTGAAATGTCTAACCTCCTTGAGTCTATGCCAGAAGAAGTCCCTTGGGTATTGCCTATCGGTACGTAATATGACGGCTACATCGAATGAACAAGAGGAGATCCTAGGGACGCGACGGCCGGTGTGCAAGATCAAGAATATCGATTGCTTGCAGTGAATACACCAACGGACCACTCGCTCGGGGGCGTCTGGCGCTGGCGCATCTCGACCAAAAGCGGGAGGGCAGTACCGGTCTGTGTACGCAGTAGTGTACGGATCGCAGTAGGAAAACCTCGTAGGAGTCGACGATCGAGACTGGCTTCCGTCCCAGGTCAGTCGGGGCAGGGAGGGCCATGCCAGTGGTTGAGGCCAATGGAGGCGTCGGTTGTGGATTGAAAGCGGGCACTGATCAACAATCCCAACATGCAAGCAGAGCGACATCGTCCCATGCCAGGATGAGCGGCAGAAGGCGAGGGTGGTTTCTTGTTCCGTAATACGTACTTTGCGCAGCTAAAATGGCAGCAAAGTGGGCGTGCCAAAGGTTGATCTGGCAGGGCTCGTTCAAGGCGGGAGGTCGAGCCTGCATTAGTCGATATGCAGCCAACGCTGTCGTGCGCGGTAAGGAGGATATTTGGAAGAGGAGCAGCTGGGACTTGGAGGATGGAGAAGTGTCCGGATTGCTTTGCACCAATGGCCAGATCCATCGAATTGAACATGGCCAGCGGGCGTAGGTATTGCATTGTGCAGTACATCGTACCCATTCCGTATGTAGATGTCTTGTTGAATCATCCAGATTCCAGTCGTGTCAAGATAGGTAGCTCGAGGTTACAGGGGGCTTGAATTGAGATGCGACAACAATGGACTGGGCACCGTTTACTTTGATCCAGGTTGGTTCAGACCAGGCTTTGCATATCGCGTGGCCGACCAGCCATATCGAGAAGTGAGGAAAGCGTGGGAGTCACGTGGAAATTGTGTTCGTCGTGTTGTATCGCAGCACAGGCATGATGGCATGGGAATTGCAAGACCTGACGCAAAAGAAAAGGCGGACGAACAAGGCATCCGCGGACCGGAGGAAAAAAAGAAAGTGGGGAGTAGCCCGAGTGGGGATGGTGAGTTTAAAAGAGTATTATGTAATTAATGTGCTGCAAAAGAGGGCAGGAGTAGCAGGCCCCAAGCAGGCCCTCTTGGATGATCAAGTCTCGAAACAGCAGGAGTCAAAACTGGACGGGCCGGGTCCACCTTCCAAGTTCCCACGATTCGGGCCCATGGTGCCGTCGGCGTCGGGGGCCTTTTGTCAAGGCTCAACCTGCCTGCCTATGGATCATGGAATACTCCGTAGGTACCACCTACCTTACTCCGTACTCACTTACTCTGTACGGAGTACTCAACCAGCAGGAGGCAGGCGGCCCACGGCACGTTCAACCCCCCCCCCCTTCCCCTTGTCTTCCTGCCGTACCTGCCTCAATTCTGCCAATTTGGTCATCGGAGAGAAACATGACATGGCCCCGTGGTCTATCCGAATGGAGTACCTTACCTTGGGAGCAAGGCCCTGCTCATATCCTGGACCTGAAAGCATTTCCATCTGCATTCAACACTCTACTTCAAGCATAGGAGGAGGGTCAAAAGGAGTTGGGGTTGAGACTCAAGAGTCATTGATAATTCGGTATGCAGTCATGTTCATGGATTCGAGGAATGCGCGGCAACGCAAGACCCGATGATACACTGGAGACTTGTATGCATTCGTCCAACGAGAGTTCGTTCCTACGGCCAAATATATATCAGTCAAGGTTTGCAACGAGTCGATCATTGGATAATCTAATGGCCAGGGGACTGCGTCTATGCATACATGGTCTTATGAGCCTCGGTCTTCCGTTGGACCTTCCTGAATCATTCAATACTGTTGTCTACTATTATATCTTGATACAGGAGTGGAATCCCACAAAATGAGAAGCAAAAATAAAAGAGCGGTGGGTGGCGGAACCCCAGTCAGCAGCACCAAGGCAAGGTATCCGTACCTACATTACCTCAATCATCAACTCGAGTGCCCTAGGTTGTCTACCATGTAATAGCCATGATTCCATATTCCATAGATCCAATGCCCCAAGTCATGAAGCTGCCAACATATGCCAAAGTTGGCTTCAATATCCGCAAGTCCCTCAGTGCAGAATTCAAAATTACAGCGTCCAACCTTGCACGGTGGCTTCATCTCCGCATTGCACCTGCTTTAGGGGCCGAGCTTGAGCAAGGAAGACCGAGGCTGGACAGGGGCCTGCAATATGTAGCGCGTGCTTTCAAATTCTCAGGTAAGATCCGGCTGGTAGGGAAAGTGCCGGCTCTTGATCATTGCGCCTTGCCTCACATCTCACGCTGCACACTCACACCACTTCAGTGACTTCACGCACACGGCTCCTCACAGTTCACTTTCTCCAACAACATCCTTCCCTATCACTTCTCCAACAAGTTGCCTCCTTCTCTTTCCACTATGCTAGTATACGGCATACGGCACGAGCTGACTTGCCCATTGTCCTTCTTCTCCTCACACTCTCTTCCCCACGCCGCCCCTAGCCAGTCAGATGTCGGTTTGAACTGGGATATGCCTCATTGCGGCGTTGCGTTATTGTGAATTTAACCTGCAATGACCCGATCCAATGGTTTCTAGCGGCCCAGACCGATCGAAGGTGCGCTGCAGCATTGTGCCCCTGCTGGTCTGGATTTTTTTCTTATCATTATTTTGCCTCCATTGTATGTTTTCTCGGGATTTATGCACATGTCTCTTTTCTTTTTCACTTTGTACGAAGGAAACTGCAGCTGCCACTGGCATACTTAGGTAAATACGTAGTATGTTTGGCTGCAGTCGGCTCATTCGTATGTATCCGTACTTGTCAAGCTGGTTTGGTAATACCTTGGGGAAGGTAACTCGTACACGTATCCGTCCCTACCATCTCCTTCCATTTCCCCGGCCAGCCACTTTCCGCCTCGTTCCGCCCCTAGGTAGGCAGGTACTGGCCCATGGGCATAGGTACTTGCTTGTGATGCATCTCGTGTGGCCACACTTGCCTCATTCGCACTCCTAGCTCGGGATAGTTGTGGATGACAATATGAGGTGGAGTGTGCTGTAACTTAGATTCAGCTGCTGCAATGCCATGCCATGTCATGCGCTGCACTGCATTGCACCGCATTGCATCCTCCCTCGCACACATTCACAGCAAACATTCCATCGCGATGCAGCAATTTCTAAAATAAACCACGGCCCCTCAACGACAGCGCCAGTTAATCTGGTCACCGAAAGGCGAGTTGCGGTACTTTCCGAGACATTTCAGCTGGTCCTGGACCTGGGCCATTACCGTCATCCACTCCATTCCCTTGTTTTGCTGCTTGCAGCTGTCAAGCAATCCCGGATAATCAGCCTTATTGCACGCCGCCACAGTTTAAACACACCTCACATCCGCCCTCGCGAGTCGCATCAAACAGCAAGCGCCTTGTGCGTCCGTGGCCAAAAACGGCATGCTTCATATGCATCTCTGAGCATCTTGGCTCCACGGAGTACGTCGTGCCAAAAAGACCAGCTGAGCTGAAGCTTTAGACTTTGCTGCGCCTTGCACTCTGTCTCAGTCGACAGTAGGTTAACAAATCGATCATCCAGATGGACTGCAACGTCTCATCTGCTCCGTGTTTGCCGCACAATGGAACCCAATTCTGTCCCTATTTTTTGCGTGGTTTGGCTCTGTCACGCCCGTCACCGCCGGCCCGGCTTCTAGAACAATAAATACCCCTCAACTTTCTTTTTCAGCATGACAGCCTGGCCTGGTCGTAAGTTTGCAGCGCTTCTGGGCTTGTTGCGTCTTAATCCAACCGTCTTATCCGCGTCGTACCGCACCGCACCGCAGTCTGCTTTGGCTCGGGAGAACCCGAGTCACGACGCAATCAGCTGCTCGAAGCTGCGACTTCGTACCATCCATGCTGTTTGCTTCAATATCAGCAGAAGCACCCTATAGCAGGATCTGGCCCACCGGGACAAGTCTTCAAACCCGTCATATATGACGGAGAAGACGCTTTATCCGGAAAAGATAATGCATGGTCTAATCTGCAGGATTTGCCACAAAACCGCCATCGTCTCGCAATTTTATTTGCAGCGCTCTACGTCCTACTTAGTTCCAGCGTCGAGGGTGTGAGTCGTCTACTACCTAGTATAGTCCCAAGCAGCAGACGCACCTCACATTCTCCCACTGTTCTTGGAGACCTAGGTCATCCGCTGCCGGCGCAGGGTTGCAGATTTCCCATGGCAAGGCACGCCCCGAGACAAGGGGGCATACGACAGGCCTGAGCCCTGAATCCTCTCGCAACTCTTCCTTCATTGCTTTTTGCAATACCCCACCAAGGAGGCGGTCATAGTTCTGGGTCCTTGTTGGGATCATGGGTTTTGAATCCGACTGCAGATTTGTTTCTCAATATGTCGGCCGCCTCGGAACCTCGATGCTCACCACTGGGTTCAACGACGGCCAAGAGTTTTTTTCCCCTACATACTCCCAGCACAGATTAGTCAATATTGTCATTGAGTAATGACCACAAGAAGCGCCGCCCGTATGCGGATACTACAATAAATCACACGCTGGCAGCCAGCTATGTGGCCTTCTCGTCTGTGGATCAACGCTCCATGACCGGGACGGGATGCGTCTACCCGTAGAAAAGGGGAATACGCCCAGACAGGACCCTCACAGAAGCACAAGCGTCTTGCTCAATAGTTCCCGCAGTCCGGCAGCTACGGCCCCAGACTCCCTATTCAAATCCTGACAGCGTCCTGATCCAGCATGGCCTAATTGACAAAGACGACTTGCGAAGTCACGACACGCATTTGACAATCAACCCACCCCGAAATGGAGAAATCTCATGGACAGGGAAACATGGCATATGGCTCTCATTTGGGATTAAAATCGTTGCAGAACGGCACTCGCGAGTTGCGAGAAGCGAGGATCAATCATTTGCAAACGTTCCAGCAGCCGTTGGACCGTCCGTGGCGCGCCGAATCTTGATCGCTGCAGATAGTTAACGGTAACAGCCGTTGGCTTATTCTGCTCAATAGTGCCATCAAAACGTCTTGCCCTTTCGAGGTTGACTCCATCGGATGAACTGCCTGCGAAAGGCTGGTAGTACCAGAAGACAGTCATGTTTGGCGGCGCGACATGGCGGATCCGGGTTGCAAATCACAAGTAATAAGATGGCTTGATATAGCCGTTTAGCTTTACACGCAGTGATCAAACGAGCACAGCGCCGAACGAAAGCGATATTGGCTCCCTTGCTCATATCCTAGCAACCCCCCGAAGGCGGGAAGCTGCTCGGTATTATAACAAATCAAAAAAGGCCCGCCCTCGACTCCCGCAGATCCGGAGAAGAGTCCCAAGTGCCAGGCATGGCTTTTGTGCCAAGGGCGACAAGCAGTAGAACATGCTCAAGTGCAGCCAGCCTGGGTGCACACCGTAGCTCTTCTGAAAATCTGTCAATTTGGGTAATGGGAAGCAGAACAACCATCGTTAGACTCGCAGAGTCAGTGTTTCCAAAAGAACGCAAACATGACTGTACCGATCGAAAGAGAGAGGTACGGAACTGAACAAAGAGCGCGAACCCGCATTTGGTTAACATGTATGCAGCCACTCGCCATATTACGAACGTCTTTCGTCCAGAAATCTAGCGCGAAAACAAAAAGGCCAACGATGCTTGGCATCTTACCAAAATTTGCCTAGCCAGGGCCTAGAAGGATCGCAAAGACGGGGGGCATGGGGGGCTCGTCCTCAGATGAACCAAAGGCTTCACATCATTTTTTACTCTGTACCCGTACGCTTTCCCATCCCTTCCGCAGTGGGGCAGAAGCGGCCAGCGTTGGCTTTGGAGTAATCTCAAGTGCCGTCAAGTGAGATCAGCAAAGAGGCCCTGCCGTTGTGGCTGGCCAAATCGACCGTACTGCGTAGGTATGTTCACCAAACCCATGTTGGCATATGCTCCGATGGCTAACTTATCTAAAGGATCAAGCGGATGGCTGACACAATGAGGAAGGCGTTTTCAGGTTGAATCAAGCGGACTAGCCTAACAGCATGTCTCTACTACAGCCCCATGTTGACATCAACATACATGGCTACCTATGAACAGGGAACAGATGTCATTGACAGCATCAAGGACGGCATATCAACAGAGGTCCATCAATGCATACCCGGAAGACCGAAAGAGAGAGAGAGAAAAAACGCATCTCAAACGAGTCATCAAAACACAGAGGCCAGACCTACGTCAGTCTTGGATAGAAGGCGCTGGCCTCGACTCCCTAGGAGCCACAGCCAACCTACTGTTACGGCTGTCACCGTCATTTCTCGCCTTTCGCAATCACGGTTCGTTGGCCATCATCCATACCCAGTTGCTATGGGGTCAGCCATGTCTTACTACGGGCGCAAAGGCCTCTTTGTAATTTCTAATTCTTGTTCCATGTTCAGGAGACTTTGGTGATGGTTTCTTCGAGATGCTCCGTATCTACTCCTACTCAACCAGCCATGTACCTCTCTACAAAATGGAGATGTTGACCTGAAGGAATCTGCGGCCCGTGGCTTGTACACCCCAGCTCGTGCTGCTCAGTGAAAGCCCGGTGTGGTTGTTCATCATCTACGACCATACTCGTCGTGCGCTTTGGTACCTTGATACCAAGTTCTTACCCCGGATGGTGCTGAGTGGACCAACCGCTCCGGGATGTCGTCTTTGCCCAGCCATGCGATCTCAGCCGGGTTGTGGGATGCCCTCTCTCTCATCCCCAGTCAAGGTCTATGTGTCCAGATTTCAAAGCCACAGTCACAGTATCAGAATAGCATCCTGATCTTCTCTTCGAAAATCGCGGCAAAGTGCCATCCGGTGTAGGGGATATTGATACATGCGCCTACCTTGTCAATCCCCGACGTGATTGACGAATTATTTTCGGTATTGAGCATCGCAATGGCCCCTTCCATACGGTACGTGAACCTCACACTTTGGATGGACGTGCGGCTCTTCTTCGTCCGGGCCGAATTCCTCAAAGGCTACCACCTACCTACAACGCGCGTCCCAGATGGGCCAGAGGCGCAGGAACGATGCAAATGATCTGCCGATATCTCAAAGCTTCCCTAGTCGCACAGTATCGGTGCAACCATTATCATTCTTCCTATCAGAAAGGCATTCGTGATCGATCTACTACACAGCCATACACAAGGTGACATTGGCTTCCTCTTGTTGCCCTCCGCTTCCGATGCTCGACCTCCACATGGCGAGTAACAGAGCTCCCAAAAACATCTCGAGAAACAGTCCACAGGTACTCGCATATATCACAGCAGACCTGTGCGCATCTGCCAGTGGGCAGATTGAAGAGTTTGACCAACAATGATCAAACCATACCAGACCGTATTTGTAGATCCCATGGAACTGGATCCATGCAGCCTCAAAGTTCTTTCGCGCAGTCTCAGGGACAGCCCGCCTTCGAATTTTCCGATCCGACGAGGGAATACTACTCTGGATTTGAATATCCAATCGCAACGGGCGTCAACGACATCACCTTGCCCTCCTCTCCTGTTGCAATGCTACCAGTTTGGGATTTCCTCTCGGGGATTATGCGGGAGACGCCCAATGGATGCTACGCCAGGAACGGACTATGTTCGCCAGCCCATTGCGACATTGCGATCAGACCGAGTGGCATTTACTCACACTGAACAACAGCCCAACTCTCATCCGTTGCCATCAGATTACAACGGGCGCAAAGCCACTCGCGGTCGGAGGCGTTCTTCCTTGGTGATATACGAACTAAGCGTTACAGTCACTCCTGCTACATCGGTTAATACGACGGCCGAGTTCGAAGCGGCGGCTAAAGCTGTCGGTACTTTGCGAATGCTATTGCGCCCAGAGGTTGTCGGATGAACCTCGTCGGGTCCTTAACATTTCGCCCCGAAAGGACGGGCTTTACACCTCCAAATCGACTTGCTAAGGTACATAGGTAATGGTTCTTCTGTACGTGGAGGCTGGGGGACGATCTCAAATTACGCCCCTCCCTCATTCGACATTAAATCCCAGTGCTAAAGCTTCCTGGAGACCTGAAGTTGATTCGTCGCACGAGACAGAAACCAACTGAAGAAAAAAAAAACAAAAGGCGCCGAGTCTAATTGCCGCTAGAGATGTGTCACCGCACCTCTAAAGTTATTACGCATACGGACGTAAGAATCGACTAGGAGGCGTGGGAGAGTGATGGGGATGTTGGCGTCATCCATCTGCTGTGGCTGATAGGGGTGTACTCCGTAGGGGTCGCCAGTACGTGGCATCTGCAGCCCCCGTGCTGATGGCATCATCCCGCTTTTCGCAATGAAGATCGCGACAGTTTCCCCTGCTTTTGTTTCGAATTGACGATTATACGTCTCGAGGTGGCCGTGGGTGCAGCTAGGGACCTACGGAGTACAGATACCAGTCACGGAACTGTAAATACCCACGCCCGCCACCCACACGTGCGGCGTCTCTGAAATTAGGCGCGGGGGTTTTGGGACCTTTTTCCCTTTGACCAAGTTTCGTTTCAAGCACAGACCAGCTTCCCTTGGGAGAGTATTGAATGACTAAGCAAAATAACTGTCTCCTGGTAGGAGCTAGTCACTTGATTATGCACGTGATACCAGTGTCAAACGCGCGCCGGGGCCGTAGGGGTCTTGGACCCTGCCGAAAGGGATGAATAGAAAGTTTCAGCCGCGCTGTCAATAGGAAGCGTGGTTCTAAAAAGGTGAAATGATGTGAAGCTCATATCGTCCCATGAACTGGAACCTTCAATTACATCGTCAACGAAAATAAAACATTGTGTGTGTGAGATTGGTGGTGGAGCTTTCCAACCACACGACCGCTTCTCATCACAACCCACCGGAGTCCGTCTTACAAGCAAGGGAGTGAGTGAGTGAGTGATCACAGGGAGAATCACATACTGTTTGTAAACAGAAAGCGCACAGCACACAAGCATTGATAATCCAAGAAACAGCAAGATCACCGGTAATAACAGAGAGAGAGAAAGAAGCATACTCATAATGGACCCAAATATCTCGGCATCCGCTCTGGGTGAGCCACAACACCTGGGCATCGGCTTCTACCTCCTCCCCTTCGCCACGTTTCTCTGCTTCCTCGTCCCGGTCCTTTACATCTTCCCCCCGATCCCGGCAACCACCAGTGATGCCCTCCGGTCAACACACACCAAGATTGGCGTTCCGCCGCCAAAGAGCAATCTCCGGGACCAGCACTCCGTCAGGGCCGACACCGGCAGCAGCATCTCCAATGCCGGCACCGGCAGCGGGCCCGTCGCTCGGGTCAAGGCGCTCTGCGTCTACCCCATCAAATCATGCCGCGGCATCGAAGTGACCCGCACCAAGCTCTTGCCGACAGGTCTGGAATTCGACAGGCTGTACACCTTTGCGCAGCTCAAATCCCGCTTTCCGGCCGCCGTGGACGACTCGGCCGAGGCGAAGGACGAACACACATGGGAATTCGTCACGCAGCGCCAGTTCCCTCTCCTCGCGACGATTAAAGTCGACGTCTACGTCCCCGACGCGACCAAATCCACAGTCTTTATGGAAAAGTCCTCCGACGCGTGGATCGTGATGCGGTTCCCCTGGCGGGAACCCGGGTTCCGGGGCACCATGTCGTGGGTGGCGTCCAAGATCCGGGACGGGTGGAGGGGCCAGCCCGAGATGGAGGTGTTGTTGCCGGTCGAGTTCCCGACGGACGCGGAGATTGCGGAGCGCGGGTATACCCGCGAGGACGTCAAGGTGTGGAAGGAGGTCGTGCCGGCTCTGAATATGGAGAAGGAGCTTCCTGGGCAGCTGTGTCGGTATTTGGGAGTGAGCAATAAGTTGGCGCTGTTCCGGGTTGATCCGGGGCAGTTGAGGGAGGTGTATCGGTGTGCGCCGCGGAAGGAGGAGGCTGGGTATCAACCTATTGTTGGATTCCAGGATGCTGTGAGTCTTCGCCTTTTTTGTTCTTGATTTTGCGTCCCCTCACCCCTTTTTGGGTTCTTCTCTTTTGAGATGGGTGAGAGATGGAAGATGAGAGACGAAAACGAGGTGACTTGAAGCTAACGAATCATTGGGGAAAAGTATCCCCTACATATCATGAACATTAGCAGTCTCCAGGACTTTGACGCCAAGGTGCCCAAGGACGACGAGCTGAAGCATCTCGACGTCAGGAGGTTCCGGTCCAACATCATTGGTAAGTACGATCCAACGCAGCATGAGATGACCCTCTCTCCCTCGGCTCTCTAGAGACTTGATAGTGGGCAGAATTTCTGGGTTCAAGAGCTTTACTGACGAAATCTCACAGTCTCTGGTGCACCAGCCTACGACGAGGAATCATGGAAATGGGTAAACTTCACCCAGGGCACCTCAAAGGTCACCGTCCCGGCCAAATTCCAAGTCTCGTGCCGTACCGTCCGGTAAGCCCCTTACTCACTCGATCGTCCTCTTTCATGCTCCTGAAAATACACACACACACACACACACACACACATACACACACACATATGTATATATATATATATCAACTAACACACCCTAAAAGCTGCAAAATGCCAAACGTCGATCCAGTAACCGGCACCCGCCACGGCGCCGAACCAGACAGGTCCCTCCGCAAGCTCCGCGACGTCGACGAGGGCGCACCGCGCATGGGGTGCCTGGGCATGCAAATGTGCCCGCTCTTTGAGGGCACCGACCGCGTCGAGTACATGCAGGCCTGGCTCGAGGTCGGCATGGACGTCTCCGTACTGGAGCGCGGCGAGCACGTGTACATTAAGCAGTGAAGAGCCAGGCCACCTCAGCTCATCTCAGCTCTCGCTCGCTCGCCCGCCTCATTTTGATCTTAACCCCTGAAGAAAAAGATATGTCCAGGCAGCGACTGATGAGATGGATCTGGCGTTGCTGGAGAGAGAGAGTTGGTGGTTGGGTTTCGTCTTGCTTGGATATGGTGTGAAAAGGCATAATAGACATAGACTTAGGGGGCCACAATCACATGCAGAAAGGAGAGAGTGTTGTAGGTTAAGAACAGGAAAAAACAAATTTGATTTCAAAATTTTCGCACTCGCAACCTCCATTAGGTATCATGCCAGTTACTCCCATAGTTCCGGCCTGTTTTGCGTGAGAGAGACAACCCGTCCGAACCCAGTGCAGAAAAACGACAAGAAAGCGTGCTCCGCTGTGGTATCCAACCAAAAGAAAAGTTCAACCCGACCCAGAAACCTCGTCGAGTACCCTTGCGCCTCTTCTTCAAACCAGGAGAAAGGAGGCCCCAATAGCAAACGGGAAAGAGGAAGAAAATTCCATCATCGTCATCATCATCATCATGTCGCGATCAGGAAGCTGACTTTAGAAACATTCACGAACAAACGCGAGCAAACACGTCTACTTCATGTCAGCAGGCGTCAATGCTTGAACCATACTGGTTCCTTCGCTGAAGCGAGTCCGGAAGATGCGGTTCGCGTTCTGGAACATGCCGTCCTTGAGAGAGACGACGATGAACTGCGAGCCCTTGAAACGCGTCTTGATCAGGCGACCAATGTTTTGCGTGTGGGACAGATCCAGCGCGGCGTCAACCTCGTCCAGAATGTACATGGGCGCAGGCTTGAACTGCAGCAGGGCCATGATGAGTGAAAGGGCGATGAGAGATCTAAATTACACGCGTTAGTTTGAAGTCATTGAAACCAAGTGTAAAAGATTGAGAGTATGCTTACCTCTGACCACCAGACAGCTCAGTCAAGCTCTGCTTCCACACCTTGCCAAGGGATACCTTGACTTCAAGACCATCGCTAATGGTCTTGCCTTCAGGGGGGTCCAACTTGGCGAAACTGCCGGGCAAGAGCTCGTTGAAAATCTGACCAAAGTCGCCGTTCACCTTCTCCCATGTCTCTTGCAGGGCCTTCTTTTTGTAGTCGTCCAGGCTGATGATGGTCTCCTCGATCTTGCGCTTGTCGCGGATGACAGTCTTCATCATGTGCTTGAGTGACACCTCCTTCTTCTCGACGCTCTCAATCATGTTCATGACCTTGGGGTTGATTTTCTTCTTCATACCCTGGAAGCGGTCCGTGAGGTTACGGAGCGTCGACTTGCACTCGCCAATGTTCTGACCCTTGAAGTCATACGGCGTTCCTGAACGGCCAAAGTTCTCCTTCTCGTCGGCAATCCAGTCGTGCTCCTTCTCCATGTGCGCAACAGTTTGCACGGCCGATTGCTGCTCCTTGTGGAACCTTTCGACCTGATGGCCAAGCTTCTGCATCTCGAGACTCTCCTCGGCGATGCGGGCGTTCTTGGATCGGGTAGCATCTTCAAGGGCGTGGAGTTCGTCATCGAAGCCATGGAGCTTGGCCCGCTCATCGTCAAGCTCGGCCTGGACACCGTCAAGAGTCTCTTGCAGGGTGCCTTGCTGCTTAACAAGATCCTCGATGTCCTGCTGCTGGGCCTTGATGGCTACTTCAACCTCTTGCTGCTGTTCGCGGGCCGCGGACAAATCGCCAGAGACCTGTTCTGAGTCGAGCTGGGCGCCTTGCACTTCCTTCTGCAGAACCTTGACTGAAGCAGTGTTCTTGGTCAGGTCGGCTCTCAGCTTGTCCAATGACTTCTGGAGCTCAACAAGCTTGGCATCCTTGTTGTTGTCGAAGTCATTCATGTCCTTCTCAATGCGCTTGACATCAGCAGTGGCTTCGGAATGCCTCTTTTTGGCCTCCGCAGTGTCGTTCTTGAGCTGGGCAATGGTTTCCTTCATGTTCTGCACCTCTTGGATAATTGAAGAAGAAGAGTTGCTGCTAATCTGCTCTTCACCAAGCTTGATCTCGTGGCTCTTTAGGTCAAGCTCCTGCTTGATCTTGCGGGCGTGGTCAAGTTTTGATTTCTCGCTCGCAATGGTGAGCTGAAGCTGGTGCAACGAAGACTCGGCCTCCTTGAGTTGGCGCGTGATCTCGTTAAGCTTTTGCAGTGTAACGAGCACACCACTGGAGTTGGGGGAGCTACCACCCGAAAGTGTACCTGAAGGGTCATAGGAATCACCCTCAAGGGTGATGGACCTCATTCTAACGTTGGGGTCGAATGTGACCCTCTTGGCCGTCTCTGCATCTGCGCAGATGAGAGTGTTGCCGAATACATACTCCATGGCGGCGGAGACCTCGTTGTCGTAGCCAACGAGTGACAGGGCCAGGTCAACCTTGCCTGGTGCAATTCTTTGGGCAGCCCCGATGGCCTGAGCCGAGGCTTTGAAGGCTGCGATCTTGTTCAAGGGAATGATGGTGACGCGCTTGCGGAGCTTTCCTCCTTGGAGCAGTTGAGTGCCGGTGACTTCAGAGTCAACCACCACGTTGTAAAGGCGACCACCAGCGCAAATCTCGAGTGCAGTGCCGGCTTGCGTGTTTTGCTTGTCGAGTGTGAACAGCTGGGCAACCAAGCCCTTGACCTTTGATCTATCAAAGTTGGGTGTCGGGTCAGCATAGTTGAAGTCAATATTGGCTACCTTGCGCTTCAGGCCGTCGGCCTCCTGACGGAGACCTCGGATCTGCTGCTGCAGGGACGACTGCTTCTGGTACAACTGCTCTTCCTGGCCGGGCTCAAAGCCTAGTCGTCCAAGCTCTTTCTCGAGCTTCTGCGCTTGTGATCTTAGGCCTTCGAGATCCCTGAGAAGATCGGCATTCTGCTCTTTCGCCTTCTTGGCTCGTGGCTCCTCCTCCTTGATGCGCTTTTCGAGATGAGCAATCTTCATCTTTGCTTGCTCCTGTTCAGTGACCGATGCTGTCGCGCGGTTCCTTGCGTCTTGGAGCTGGCCTTGGTAACCGCTTTCTTGGCCATCCTTGGATGCAACACCGGTTTGCAGGGTTTGCAAGAGTTCCTCCTTGGATTCGGCTTCTTGGCTTTGCTTCTCCAGGTCGTCCTTGGCTGCGTCGAATCTGGCTTTGATTTCCTCAAAGGCCTGAGTCTTTTCTTGCAGTGTCGCCTCCAGCTCCGCGACGTTCTTTTCGACAGCCGTCTTCTTCTCTTCCTCTTCCGCCATGCTGGACTTCTTCAGGTCCATGACCGTGGCAAGTCTGACCAGCTCGTTCGAGTGCTTCTTGACGGCATCCTCCAAGGCTTGCGCCTTTCCTCCTTTCTTCAACTCCTTGTCGCGCTGAGCTCGGACTCGTTTGACGTCCTCTTCAAGATGGGAAATTTCGCTCTTTAGTCGTGCTGCAGAGTCCTCGAGATCCTTTTGTCTTTGTTTCTTGCCCTCCAGGTCTGCTGCGGATTGCTCAAGCTTTTCCTGACACCTTACATAGTCGTGCGCTACAACCACCCGTGTAAGTCGCTCGAGATCGTTCTGGGTTTGTTGGAAGTCGAGGAACGCTCGCTTCTCTGTCCTGAGTTTCTCCAGCTTCGGCTCGATCTCGTCTCGTAGTAGTTCGGTGATTTCTTGCAACTTCATCTCTTTTTTCGCCATGGTCTTAAGCGCCTTGTCTCTCCTGTCCTCAAACATTCTGGTTCCCGCAGCTTCCTCAATCATGGCCAGAATTTCGACCGGTTTCATGTTGAGAACCTTTGTAATTCGGCCCTGCATAATGAGAAAGTTGGGGTTGTTGATGTTTAGCTGAACAGACTGGAACAGGTTTTGTACAGTCTGCTGTTGGGCTCGGTGTCCATTGATGAGGTATTTGGATGTGCCGCCGAGGACGATTTGTCGAGTCACACTAATGGTTGAGTACTCTTCGAAGCCGATCGGCGACTTCTTCTTGTCTCTGTTGTCGAAAACAATAGTAACACTCGCTTTCGTCACACCGGCTTGGCCGCGCTTGTAGATAAGATCCTGTTGTGAATAGCATCAGCTTCATCGGTCACCATCAGAATTCAGCACAATTAATAGCTACGCACCTGGAGATTTTGCGCTCGGACTGTTGTCATGTTGGTGATTCCCAAAACGAAGCAGATGGCGTCCAAGATATTGGACTTTCCGGAACCGTTGAGACCGGTGATGGAGTTGAAACTTTCGTCCCTGTGTTGTGTGAGCTTTCGTCCCGTCAAAGCCAAGGCAAGGGGTTTGTTTACCATCCCGAAATCACCGTTCGCACGGCATACGACTTGAAGCCCTGGATACTGTCAGCATCAAGAAGATAAAAGAAGAAATGTGATCGCATACGTCTATAATAACCTCTATGACCCTCATGCTGCAGTACTTAGTGGTTGGCGATGGTGTTGCTGAGGAGTGTTGTTAGAGTCAAGGTCTTTTTGTTTACTTTCGATCGGTCGCGTTTCCACTTCACCCCCCCTTCCCATGGATGGAAGGTTTGGACCCTCCCGCACTCCCGTCCGATAAGGCCCTTATCAGGGACAGCACACATACGGGCGGGCAGTCACACAGGGCACCGCGAGTCTCCCGCAAGCCGCAAGCGCGACTGTCAATCTGTGATTGCCCCGGCTCAAGCAGCCCCACGAGCTTCAACCGCGCTAAACCAGATTCGGACTCGACCAAAACATTCGGTTCGCAATGCAATTCAAATCCAGGTCCATCAACACCACCGCACATCCATACAGCTTTTGTGTGCTTTCCACTCTTTGCTTTCCTCTCTCCCTTCTTTTCCAGCAACTACCTTACTACACCCATCTACCACATTCCGAACTCGATGACAAGCTAGCATTTCTCTTCTCCTTCACAGCGACACTCTTGCGCGCGTCGCGATCTACCCCTCACAATGGCGACGATGCGAGGAACGCGTGTGCCTATTGGCTCCGCGTCATGGGTTAACGAAGAACGAACTACAGCCCTTAGTATTGTTCAGGCTGAGGCTGAGGAGTTCTCCTTTGCCGCGAGAAACGAGTTTGACTGGCTTAATGAGCATATGGCTGGGGTCTTCAACGAGAACGAAATGTACGGTGACCCCTGGCTAGTAGCTCTGTGACGATCGCTAACCACCTGGACAGCAATGTCGCCGAGATCTTCAAGACACCTGGAAAGCTTCGAAGCAAGACGCCTCGAACGGCGCGTAAGGTCGACAATGGCGAGCCTCGTATCGTGAGTTTACTGCTCTCACGCGCGCCAACATCAACCTCCGCTAACAAGGTGCAGCCACTATCAGATGTGTTCTCTTCTACTCCCAACGGCGTCCCGAACACTTTCACACAACATCTTACCCGCGCTACTCCCAATGCCAACCCTGCGCCATCAACATCGTCACCTCTGATCAACAGGAATATTTCGCCTCTCAAGGCTGCCCCCTCCCCTAGGCCGGTTTCGAAACAGCCCGTTGCACTAGCCGATTCCGGATATTATGGCAGCCAGGATGTCGACAACATGGACAACGAAGAAGACGACGACGACATGGATGTCGACCTGATCGAAGAGGAAACACAGATTGACGAGCCACGATCGAGCCCCCCAAAGACTGCTGGACGGACCGGCCATGTCGCTTTCGAGGCCATCGAGCAGAACGCGCCTCAAAGCCCTACCGAAACACGTACTATGCGCTCTCCTGAAGTCACTTTCCAGACGGCCAAGGAGGAACAGACAACGCGGGTCATACGCGATGTCACCGAGGAAGCTCCATCCCCAGCATCGTCCAAGACCTCAGCTGCCCCAAGCCCGGCCAAGGAAACCAGGACGCCCTCGCCTCCTATCGTGTCACCCAAGCCTCGCTCCGCCAAAAAGAGCGTGTCACCTATCAAGGCCTCACCTCTGAAGCGCTCCCCGGCGAAGCAGTCTTCACCGCCATCCTCACCTGTGCTTGGAGCTGCACCATCTCCTATGCCCGAGCCTTCGCCTGCTGCCGAATCACAGGATGACGTGGATGTCCACATGGACGATGATACACGATCACCATCCGACGACGAGTCGAGCCCGATCCGCCCAGTCAGGAAGAGCAGCCTCAACTTTGCTTCACTTCCTGCTAGAGAACCTCTTAAGAATAAGAGTATCGGGGCTCGTGTCTCTAGGACCAGCCACTTGGATATGAACCGTCAGAGTTACTACGGTCGGCAGACGGGAGGAAAGAGTTTGGGAAACAACATGGAACTACTTGGGGAATCAGATGACGAGGAAGGCAACGACGACGGAATGAGCATCGATGGCTCAACCGAAGACACCAAGGAGGTCGACAACTACGCTTCTAACCACAACAAGACGTACACTCAACGACTACAAGACCAAATCAACTTGCTCGGTAAATCTCAACCGAACGCAAGCCGACCTTCGAAGTCGATTCCAAGCTCAGCGGTTGCACAACAACTTGCGCAAACGACTGCGGCCCAATCAGTTGCGGATGCCAAGGCAGCAACACCCGCGAAGAAGTCTGCTGCACCGCCGACTCCTGGGGCGTTCCCGGAGGACGATGATGAAGAAGAAGAAGTGGAAGAAGGCGAAGAGGATGACTGGATCGCGCCTCCTGTGCCTGCGAAAGATACGCCGTTGGCCAGTCCCCGACCGCATTTGCCTAAGAGCCACACTGCGGACGTCATGGAAGGCATCGACAGGGCAGACACCGTCAGCGGTCCTGAATTTGCTTTGCCTAAGCAGCGGCAATCTCCTGGTCGCTCAGGCTCCCCCAAGCGGGCACCTGTCATCCCTGAGCGTACTACCAGTGTCTTTGGACATGGCAAATCTGCTTCTGTTTCTGTCTTGCCCGATCTTTCCAAGGACAAGATGGTTGAAGACCTATCCCCAGCCAAGAAGCATGTTTCAGTCTCCAACCCTCTGTCAGCCGTGCCGGAGGATGGACGCCCCGAGACTCCTCAATCGCCTACACGAAGCTTCAGGGACAGTCCATTGAAGCAGGTCAAGAACAAGCTGTCTTCCATTCTGAAGAGTTCCAAGGGTCTTCTTGCGAGCAGTGCGGCCATCAGCGCTGAAGGCAAATCTTCGCTAATGTCACCCTCCACCACTCGCTTCGGCATCAACCCCGGTCCCTCTACAGACTCGATTGTACCCCAGTCAGTCGCCGCAGAGCCATTATATCCTGACCTTTCCAAGCGAATTGCAGCCGACGCTCAGACACTCTCCAGCATGGGAAGCCCTGAGAAGCCCGTTGCGCGCAGAACGCGGGCTTCCGTTGAGAAGGAGAAGGAAGACAAGCGGAAAGAGAAAGAGGCCAAGCTGATGGCTGATCAGATGAGCAAGCTTGACAAGGCTCGTGCAGATGAGCGGGAAAAGGCCCGGACTTTCAGCAAAGAACAAGAGAAGATTGCTGCGATGGAGAAGAAGATTGCTGCTCAAAAGGAGAAGGAACCTGAACAAGAGCAGGTCAGGGAGGTCGAACGACCTGCTCGAACGCCGGCGCCGAAGGAAGCACCCAAGCCCACAAGAACTAGCCCCCGCAAGGTTAAGGCTCAGGCTGAGGCCGAGGCTGCTGCCCAGGCCTCACAATCGGAAAAGCCTGATGTTGAAATGGCTGAAGCGCCAACGCCCAGGCCGCCGCCATCCGCTCCTCGCTCTGTTGGCCCTAGCCAGACGGCCAGGCAGCGGGAACTCAGGCGTCCGATGAAGCCAAGCAAGGAAGCACCCAGCAAGATCAAGCAAGCACCTACCGTCATTCGCGTTAACACCGGCTCGCAACACTCGCAGTTCCACCCCTCCAACAGCACATTATCATCGGGCTTGCAAGAGACACTGGGCTCATCGGTCAAGTCCAAGTCAAGCCAGCCAGGCTCACATAGCAAGCAATCTCTGGCGAGCATGAAGAGCTCTGTCTCGTCCAATGGGCGACCGAAAGCACTCGAGCTTGCCGCCAAGCGAAAGGAACAGGAAGAACGGGAGGCTCAAAGGAAGAGAGATGCGAAGCTCGAACTCGAACGGAAACGCGCTGCGATTCAAGAGGAGGAGCGCAAGCAGGAACTGCAAAGGCGACAAGAGGCGGAAAGACAGAGGGAGAGGGAGAGGGACCAAGCCGAGGCGAAGAAGAGCGCACAGAGGCAGGCAGCAATTGAGCGTGCCAAGCAGACGCGAGCACCACCACCTGCTGTGCGCTCTCAGCCCAATGGCCCTCCCGACTACACTGCCAGCCAACGCTCCGATGGCCAACCTCCCCGGCCTCCGTCCCGAATGAACTCCATGGCTCATCGGTCTCAAGAGGATCGACCAGTCAATGCTGTTCTTTCTAACGCTTCGAAGCCAGGCTCAAAGCGTCCCCTGCCGCAAGACAGCAGAGAGGACACTGGCTCTCGCAACCCTCCCGCACGTAACGGGCAATCTTACAAGACTCAGGAAGCCAAGCGTCGTCGGACTAGTGATGACTTTGCTGATGAGCTTGACATGGACATTCAACCACCCAACATCAAGGGCCCCCCTGTTCGCCCTCCGTCAGTGGGTTTCAAGAAGGTTAGTTACCCATTGCTCAGTGCGCACGACGGGAGCTTTGCTAACGTGGATCATCAGGACATGCCCACGAAGTCGACGTACGGCTACACCAACGCACCACCGAGTGCCTCCAGAGATTTGTTCAAGTCTACCGTCACCGCCCAGCACCACAGCACAATCAAGTCCACAAAGCAAGTGGATATGAATCAGTTTGCTCAGGGACACATTCCATTCGCGCCCAATCCAAACCCTGCCGGCCCGGCTCATAAGACACCGGCGCGACCTATGGGTGCTGCAAGCACAAAGTCTACCGCCAAGGCTACGAGATCGTCTCCCCGATTCCAAGATGGCGAAAAGATTGAGCTGCCCGAAATCGATACAGATGAGGACGAAGATGATGACGACTCCCACTTTGGCGTTGCCCCTTGGGCTGATTCGCCTGATTTGAGACGCGCCCTCATGAAACAGGAAACCATGAACCCTGAGGGTATCTTCGGGCCTCCCCGCGCCCTTAACATGGAGGAAGTGTTCAACAACAAGGAGAGATGGCACAAGTTCCGCGCGCGCACATCAAGCGCTAACTGGAGTGGATCGGATCGCTTGACAGAAGACGAGATTAGGAAGGATCTTGCAGCTCGCGACAAGCTTCGCAGAGAGGGTGGTTGGTCCTACGAGATGAGCAAGGACTTGATGTGAGAGTCGCCGCAGACTTGGCGTTGGTTTTGGTGGTTGGGTGACAACTGTGTGGATTACACATGCGAACGTGCTCACGATGGGACAAATGCAAGCAGATCATACGGCTGCTCAGACTGGCTGAGTAGAGCCTGGTGTATTCTTTTATTCTTGCAAGGAAGCAAGGAACTTTTATTGCGGGCGTTGGGCAGCATAAGGCATACAATTATGACCGTGTTAATATTCAGCAAAATGGCAATTCTGCGTTACCTTTGAAGCTATGATGAATCTCGTGGCATGTTTATCTACAGGCTGGACATGCATCTGAGGGCCGGCTGTCATGGTCTCCAGCTTTCATCCTTCATCCGATCGCATGGATGAGAGGTAAGGTTCCGAAGTCCTGAGCCAGGGTTGTGTCATGCTCGTTGACAGGGCAACCGCCCCGGACGCTATGACCGTACCTGCCAGGATCCGACGCGGTTGTGCACTCAAGGTAAGCAGTTAACGCGCTGGACCCTTGTCACTCTCCGAATTTCTTGGTGGTATTCGTAACCTCCAACAATTTCCAGGAGCTGCCAACATATCCACCAATTCCTTGATTCGGATTCGCAAAACGAGCCTTTCTTTTGTACTGGTTGGACTGCGCGATCTCCCGCATCTGCGACAAACCTGGAGAATGGGTGCTAACGATAGCACGGAGAGCCGCAAGCGCAGTCGTGCCACACCAGCTAAACCAGACCACAGTGTCCCATCGAGCTTCAAGAAACGGAAGCTAGACGCCAATGGCAACCCTATTGTTGCCTCTTCCCCAACAACCCCCAAGACTACTCCCGGAGCCAATTCTTCGGCGGTAAAGAAGTTCGCTCGCAGCAAAATCACATCCTCGCCCGTCTCAGCATACGACGTGCCAGACTCCCCCGAAGACAACCCGCCACGTCGAATCCGCAATGTCAGGAGCGTTGACCGACCGACTGCCAAGGTTCCGATCCCCCCTCGCCGCAATGTCGACGTTGACATTTACGATATTCCCTGCTCCGACGACGAGTTGCATTCGAGCCCGAAGGAGGTGAACTCGCAGAAAGCCAGCCCTACGAAGAGAAAGAGCAACGGCGCGGTCGACCACGATGTGAACGAGGTCCATGGAGGGGAAACGATCGAGAAGCCGCAGCTTCGAAAGGGCAAGAGCAATAAAGCGCTGGGTCAGGACGAAAAGGTTGCTTCGACGGAGGAGTCTTCCTCGCAGATACGATCAAGCGGACGCCGGAGAACTCTGACAGCGAAAGCCCTCGAGCATGTGGAAAAGGTTGCGAGTCGCTCTGCCACTCCGACTTCTCTTGCGAGAGCTTCTGCCGCCGCGAATGAAGTACCGGAGTCCAAAAAGGCTACAGGGAAGGCGAATCGCAACATATCTATGCCTCTGAAAGGTATTTTGACACCGTCCAAGCGGGACGGTACGCCGAGAAGGAGTAAGAGCGTAGCGTTCGATTCTGCTAGTGCTTTGGCTCAAGAGGAGGTATTTTTCGAGGATCTTCCGACCAAATCTGGGAGAAGCCAAAAACCATCACAAAAGGTGGTTGAAGCAAAAGTAGCAGTGGCGAAGCCAGCCAAGTCACGAAAGGCGCCACCAAAGGTGATTGATGAGGAGCCACAGGAGGAAGAAGAGGTGGAGTCAGGAGTCGAAGACCAGCAAGATGAAGAACCGGTAGCAGAAGCGTCAGAGCAGGAGGAAGATGAAGACGAGGACGTTTGTTCGATATGCACGAAGCCCGATTCCAAGCCTGGAGACAGAATCCTGTTCTGTGATGGCTGCGATAAGGCGTTTCATCAGAAATGCTATAACGTGTCCAAGGTTCCCCGGGGAGACTGGTTCTGCAACGACTGTGTTGGGCAGAAGCAATTGCGAGCAGTGGCAGCAGACGAGGCGGTGAAGACCCCCAATTTCGCGCAACACCTGAGCAATCTGCAAAGGGTGCTACTAGACCGGTGTACGGGTCGCCGACGTATCAAGCTGATTGACCAGGATGATGCCTACGAAAAGGCGCATCAGCTGGTAGAGCAGACGGTATTGGCCGGGGAGGGCAACTCTATGCTCGTAATAGGGGCAAGGGGTTGCGGCAAGACCACGGTAAGTCGAAAACCATTTCCCCTCCATCGGTACTATTCTAATGTAAAACAGCTCCTTGAAAGTATCGTCGACGACCTGTCTTTACAGCACAAGAAGGAATTCCATGTTGTAAGACTAAACGGGTTCATTCACACAGACGACAAGCTGGCCCTTAAAGAGATTTGGCGGCAGTTAGGCAAAGAGATGGAGGCGGAGGACGAGGCCAATGCTCGGGTTTGCAGTCCCAATACCTCAAGAGATAGAGGCGAAAAGAACTAACGAATCGTGTAGTCAAATTATGCCGACACAATGGCCTCGCTGCTTGCGCTGCTTTCTCACCCGTCGGAAATGGCACAGGCGGAGGAGGGTGTGACCTCGCAAGCGGTCGTCTTCATCATTGATGAGTTTGACATGTTTGCAGCACATCCCCGGCAAACGCTGCTCTACAATCTGTTTGATATTGCACAGGCGCGAAAGGCCCCTATCGCGGTTCTGGGTTGCACGACACGGATGGACGTGGTTGAATCTCTGGAAAAGCGCGTGAAGAGTCGTTTTAGCCATCGCTATGTCTACCTGTCCCTCCCAAAGAGCTTGCCGGCATACTGGAAAGTATGCAAGCAGGGCCTTTGCGTCGATGACGAGGACATGGATGTCGAGGGCATCGATGTCAGTGTTGATGGACACGAAGCTTTCCACGCAAATTGGAAGGCTATGATTGAGGTATGCTTCCAGAGCGGATCGCGGGAGGGGTGGAAACTGACTGACTGACTCACCTTTTCGACAGGTTCTGTACAAAGAAAAGGCATTCCAAAGTCTGTTGCAATACCACTACGCGACGACGAAATCCGTCTCGGCATTCCTATCAGCGTGTATTCTTCCCCTCTCCGCGCTCTCGTCTACATCACTAGACCTCGTCATTCCGCCAACGCCAAGCGGTGCGGTCGTCTCTCTCACGCCACCAAATTCCAAGCTTCACCTTTTGTCGTCGCTTTCTGAGCTGGATCTGGGCCTCCTCATCGCAGCAGCGCGACTGGACATTGTCGCGCACACAGATACGGTCAACTTTGCGATGGCGTACGACGAGTACGGCTCGCTGATGGGCCGGCAGCGGGTGCAGTCGGCCAGCTCCGGGTTACTGGCCCTGGGCGGCGGCGTGCGGGTATGGGGCCGCGGTGTGGCTGGTCTCTCGTGGGAGAGGCTCGTTGCTCTGGGGTTGCTGGTGCCGGCGGGTCTCGGGACGGGTCGGGCTTCGGGGTACGGCGGACTGGAGGGGAAGATGTGGAAGGTGGATGTGGCGCTCGAGGAGATCCCCGCCGGGTTGAAGTTGAATAACGTGTTGGCGCGGTGGTGTAAGGAGATTTGAGCGTGGGAAATGGAATCACGCTTTGATGAAGACTGGGATTATAGGCCGTCTTTGGAGGCATATGATATGACTAGGGCGTATAGACCAAGGCCTAAACGCCAATATCAGCCATTGTTAGGCTTTTCATTATTGCACACCCCGAGGACCTGTGATAGTAGTTGAAGGCAAAGGAGCTGGCTGATACTGGAAGGTTGAGCGCCTCTTGGCGATCTCCTTTCCACAACTGGTGTCTCTAGGATTTGGCGCCACATGAGTATCGCGCAGTCTCGGGGCTCGCAGGGCGCGCGTGAATGGCACAAAGTGGTCTGATTGTCTATCAAGTAGGTACGCCAGAACGTGCGAGGTGAATACCTACCTTGGGTATAGTGGGCAAAGAGGCACGTTGGGTAATGAAGTTGGACCAGGTAGTTCTCTCTCACGCAGCGCTAGGGAGACGATCCGGCCCGGTGTCTAGGCTACTTTTGTCAAGGTTGGGGTCGTGGGTGCTTGTTTGGAATCAAAAGATATGCAGTCTGCTTATGGATATAAGATGTAGGTGTGAAGGGGGGGAGGGGATACGAGGGCGGCGGGCAGTATTTCTATCTCTCTACTTTTTTTTTTCTTCTCTCCCCGAGTCTCTGAGGCGGTTTGATGTGTGAGATTTTCTTGTTTAGTGATCACGAGAGCAGCGCATGTTGAAAAGCGTCAGATTTGTATACTAGGTTATGGCTGAACTACCGCTGACTTTGAGTGTATTATGACCGAAACGGATTCCATTGGTTTGTCTGCTGTCAAGTTCTAGTTCAAGGTCTAAATTGGCTTTGTGGTATGGTGCGGTGTAGCGTGGTGTGGTAGTTTGATGGTTGTTTGCTTGGGGGAATTTGATAGCTGTGTAACGGCCGTAACGTCGTCGGACGCGGGGGCCGCAGGTCAAGACGCAGATTATGAGAAACTTTGGGCGTGCCCTTTCTGCTATGTACGTATGGCCCCGGTCACGAGGCAGGGGGGGTTTGAAGAACGGAGTGTCTGTTGGACTGATATCACCATATCTCCGTAGCGGAGAATGGATGAAGACATGGAGTAGGCAGATGATGTCACGATGTCACGATGTCACGATGTCACGACATCGCGGAGAAACACGTGCTGAATAAGATAGAGTACGATCCCCTTTCCGCCGGGGGATATATATAATTAGGCGACCTTCGGGAGGTAGCGGGAGGGGGAAATGGAGGGGAGGCTGCGGCGGCCGGGGTGGTGGTTGATCTGACGGGATGATGGGGTTCGTGAAACCTTTGATCATCGCAGCAGGGCATGGGTTTTGATAGCCTGTCACGCCTGTCAGAAAGGTTGAAGGACAGAACAGACTAGACTACCGCTTCAGATGCTACGTGTGTGGGACTGCGTGAGAGGTGAGCATGGTCCAATGCGATTGTCAGCTTGTCGCCGATGGGTTGACGTTGGTAAGAAGACGGTGAGTGCGGTCTGAAATGTGCAGTGTGTTGGTAAAGAAGCGCCAAGGGATGGCGGCCGCCTCGGGTAGTTTGTGGTACCTACAGGTTAAACGACGTTGGAGGTGTCAGTGACGTCCCTCCCTCGGGCGGCCGCGTGCCAAGACATGTAAGCCGGCCGCTCCCCCAAAAGAGGGTTTTCTTACCTACATACATTCAAGGTACACAACATCTCCACTGCCGTCATGTACCGAAGTCTGGACCTCATTGGATCCTTTCCGAAGTGCGCATGGCCATGCTGTCTGGAAAGAGGCGTTTTCTCAAGAATCCCATTATTCTCGTATTCGCTCGAGGTAGGTGAGTGAGCATGCAAGCTGCACGCGTGGTAGTTGGTGTAGGTACTTTGGCTAGACGGAAAGGCCCTGCAGCTCGGGACAGGACGTCTTTGGTGGTGTCGAATCTCGCATCGACCCAATAGCAGCTCTCCCGTCTTGTTACTACTTTCGAGGCAAAAGACAAGGTCGGGTACGGATACCTTTAGTGATGGAACAATCTTCCTTGAGGCTTCGGGTACAGGGTGGTCCCACAAGTCTGGAAACCCGGCGGCCGCCCGCCGCCACGTTGCGGCGGGTTGAATTCCGCACACGGGGCATCCAATCTGGTGGGTTGGAGTGTTGGTGTGTTTCTCTTTTCTTTGAGTTCCATTAGGTTTTTGAGTGTCTGGGTCCCTCCAGGTGCCACTGTCATCTGTCATTGATCCGAGTTAGCCATGTGCCGAGAAACACCAGGCCAGTCTTTTCTCCATCTTCTTCTTTTCTCTCTCTCTCTCTCCTCCGGGGCCACTGGACCATGTTTTTGAAAACATCCAGTGGGACAGATCAGCCGCATGATCTGGTTTTTTTTTTTTTTTTTTTTTTTGTCTCTGAGTCTGGGGGTGGTTTCGAGGGGGGGCTGAGCTGATGGGACGACAGAAAAGGAGACAAGAGAAACAAACGTCCGAGCCGAGCAGCCTGCCTGCCTGCCTTGGTTTTAGTGGCAGCACAGAAACTTGTCCACTGACTCCCCTTGTTCTAGGTACGCAGTAAGGTAAGGTACTTTGTGTGTGCGTTGTGTGCGTGCAACAGAGAGGGCGGCGGCCGCCCATGCTTCTCCCCCATGCCATCCCAATCCATCCCGTGGCCCCCGACGACTTTTGTACGGATACAGCAGTACGAACACCTCAGTTCAGCCAAAGATGTGAGCTAAGGTATGCATGGGTCCCGTCCGCCTGATGGGATTTTCTCGTTAATTTTGTTTCAATTTGTGATTGCCTCCGAATGGAAGCTGGGGAACAAAACTGGGAGGTTGACCGCATCTTTACACAACGTGACATGGGACTACAAGTACTAGACGGACTGGCATCAGTTCCTTTCTTACCCGCTCTCCGCCGCTTCTTTTCATTGATTGGCCTCTTTTCATTTCCTTCTTTCTGACGCTGTTCTTGGTCAATCATCATCGTTGGTCTGCCATTTACTATACCCAAGGTACATATCCCTACCTTGAGGTAATCCTGAGTCTATTTCGTTCCCCTCAAATCTCCCGCAACTTCACACTCCCAAAATAAATTCCCTTACATCACTCAACTCCCTAAGTGGTAGTACCCCTTCTTGTTTCTTACGGATACTCGACTTTCCTCACCTCCAACCCTGCTCTTTGCGGGAATCCTTGCCCTACTCCCCTTCCCCGGGGCCCTGTCTTTTACCGGCTCCAACCCTTTCCGGCAGGGAACCCAGCTCAAGGGACACACATACCTAGTACCTACCTTATACCGTATCGTACTGCGGTACACATACTAGCATCCGTACGGATAGTGCAGGTAGTCGGGCTTCACCGTGCCATCACCGCCCACCACGCACAGCTACGCCTCGCGGAGCCCATCTCACCCGGCCGCCCTCTGCGCCTCCGTCCTCCGTCTCCGTGCCAAGCTGGCACTGCCTCCGAACCACAACGCATCGCTTCCTCTTCCACCGCATAACCTGGCAAGGCCCCATTTCAATACACTCCCGGACTTCCATCTACCGTTTTACCGCAAACTTGACTTTTTTCTATTCTCGATTTTCAGACCCGAATTCCTGGGACTGCACTACCGACCTGCCTTGCCTGCTCAACTGACTCCTCTCCCACCAAATCTATCCTATTTCTTGTTCTCGTTCCATCCCATATCCGCTTCGGCAACAGAGCTGTTTTTCCACCCAAAACTAAAGTGTAGCAACCTCAAACTCACTTCGCATCCTCAACCCTCATACTCGTCTCCAGATACAGACTTTCTGCACATGGGGTCACTCACCCGCATCTAAACAGACAAACCTTCCTTCGCCCGCCTCCCCATCCATCTTTCTCTCTCTTCCCTCAACCATGTCAAAACGCACAACCTTCACCACAATTTCCCCTCTACCCCCCGGCATAACCCGCGATGCCGTCCTCGACTTCCTCCACAACCACCTCGAGATGATCGACCTCAACCCCCTCATCAAAGAACGCCACCTCATCCCTCCTCCGCCCAACACACCCCCCGAAGAGCACGCCTGCGCCTGGTACTCCCTCACCGACGAAATCTCCTACCTACCCGGCGGGCTAGCCACGGGAAACGTCAGCTACACCTGCTGCTTCCACGACCTGCCCACCGGCCTACAGACCCACTGCTACGCGCCCATGGGCCTCGAGATCCGCGACAAGTGGACCGTCGCCGGCTCCCTGCCGGGCGAACCCGTCGAGCCCGTCGAGCTCGGCATCGGCGCCCCGCTTACGGGGCTCTATATCCGCGAGGACGTCGATATGCGCTGCAACGTCTTCACCTCGTCGTTTGTCAAGAAGACGCTCAAGAAGAGCCATGGCTTGCTGGTCGACCGCTTAAAGACAAAGGTCCACCGCACCGTCGTCGTCGCCGCCGCGCATCAGCGGCACGGCAGTCAAAACTCACTACCGGGGTCCGTTCGGTCCGGTTCCAGCGGGCACAGCGCAACGCAGCTGCAGCATCAACAAATGTACCCGAACCCGGCTTACACGAGTAGCAACGCCCTCGGCAACCAGATCAGTCTTCCATATAGGCCATCATATCCCAACAACAACAACAACAACAACAACAGCAACAGCAACAACCCCGTAACCGCACCAACACCAGCACCGACGCCCCCAGCCAGCGACGGCTCCCAATCCTCACAAAACGCGTACCCGGAACCCCTCCGGGTCCGCCGCACCACCCAAACCGGCGCGACGTCTCAACAATATCAACATCAGCAGAAGCCGTCGTGGCCGGATATCAAATCGCAGCCGTCCAACACCAACGGTTACGCCCAGGTCAACTTCTTGTCCGGCCACAACAACAACGCCTACGACGCGAAACCTTTACCTCCGTCGCCGTACGCGGGAGGGAGAGCGGGAGGAGGCGGCGGTGATGTTGGTCAGCAGCAGCAGCAGCAGCAGAACGGGTGTCAGCAGAACAGTGGCGCGACTCTGCAGGGGCCCTTTGTTGCTGAGCTGGAGTGAGTGAGATCTCGGGAGTGGGTGGTGGCGGAATGTGCCTTTGTGTCACGGTCAACTTTTACGGGGGGTGTTTGGGGGTCGGGGGAGTTCCCACTGTTTCGGTCTAAAGGCTCTTTGTGTTGGTTATATAAACTCGATACCCCATATCTTATTTTATTTTACAATTTATAAAAGACATATACTAGTACATGAGAAATTCCTTCATCGTAAGTGAGATGTGGCTATTTTGTGTAGTACGGGTGAGGCGCAGGTTCCGTCCTGCTGTGGCAAGGTTGGTGACGTTGACTAAGATCAAGTTTCATATTCTAGACCTCAGGCTGGGGCTGAGTTTCTTCTCATCTTTCAAATACCATTGAATCACTAGGGTCATCTCCACCAAAAGCAAATTCTAACACTCATGTCTGTTGCTATGGGGTTTCATCGAGCGAGAGCCGCAGTCAAGCAAAATGTATCGCTCGTTAAAGAGCCAAAACCTTGTGATATTCTGAGTCCAGGATCATGTGGTGCACTTATCTCAGATTTCACTCAAAACGTTGTCAGATGCTACAGGTGCTCATGAACACTGTAGTTGAGCACCCCCCCCCCCTCCTTTCTCCCATTCCCTTGGACGACTTTCTGCTTAACATGACTTTCCTCGTGTGATTTTGACTCTCTGTTTCGGAGCGCCCTGGGCGGCATCCCTCTCACCCTCCGCTCCCCTCCTCCCCAGCTTTCGAGACCTCTCTACACCTAGATTCTGGCTCTAGCAATCTTGCAGGGATGGATTATGGCTGCTCTCTCGGCGCATCGTCGAGCTCTGGAGGAGAAAAAGAAGAAGTAGAACCTTTCAAGCGGTCCCGTTTAGGTAGCTTTACGCTGACGAACCGTAACATGGATGGTTTGCGTCCTGGGCCAGACGGAAGGAAGGAAGCCCTTTTCCTTTTTCTTTTTTTCTTTCCCCCTCCCCCCCCCCCTCCCGGTCAAGTTAGTCCCAAGATGAAAAGAATTTGCACTTTGGCGATTGCTCCATCTGTAGAAATATATTCACAAGACTCATTCGATACTGCCAAAAAAAAGACAACGGAGCATCATCCCAGATGAGAACTGTATCAAAACCTTCGGTTTGAACAACGTACAGACCCGGTGTTCACGCACGCACGCCATGATTTTGACTGCAGCAATCCATGAAGCGTAAGAAACCCTTGGGATACGGAAAATCGGCGTGTGTTTCAGTCTCGCAATCACATGGACTTTTAGAAAAGACCTGGGTTTATAGGAAGATGAGCGAGTGTACGGATACTCAAAAAGTACAATGCTAGACTGGAAGAGTGATACATAGCGACCAAAAGTGGCGCACCTTTCAACAAACACCGTCCATTATAGTCGATAGCCGAGCAGTACGGTTCTTGCCCTTAAAAGGGTAGAAGCGTATACTAGCTCACGGTCCTACATAATACCATGGATAGTTTTTTCTTCTTCAGAACTTTCTTCTCCATAAGAAATTGGGTAACGGGCAATATCTATAAGACGATGTTTATGTATTCATATATACACCTTTTTTTCTATGGAATACGATAACGGACTCAGAAGGTTGCGGGTTTGAATCCATATCATTTCTTTGTATCTTTTTGGCTTCTCATCTTATATACAGTGCGGGTGTACCTATTACTAGTCTCGTAATAGGATTGGCATATGGGCGCGACGTCTCGAGGAAGCGCGGTCATGAGCTTGTATTCCGATACATTACATCATGGCCGGAGTTACCTCCATTCCCTCGAGGTGCGCGTGGATGGCTTTGCCATGAAGTCTTGATAAGTCTAACTGCCGCTTAACCGAAAGATTAAACGTTCTCAAACTCACACTATAAGAAAGAGCCATTTCCAAACTTATCGCGCTTAATGCTCACCCGTAAAGATCATGTGGCCAGATATCAAATCAGCAAGAAAACAAAATCTGATTGGCATAATTTCCGAACGAGAACCACCTTGAAGGGAGAAACCATCACCCGCTGACGACCTTCCGTCCATGTCTGCCTGGCAGGCTGCCATCCAAGCCTTGCCTTGTGCTGCCTGCTAAAGCCGGACGTCCGCCCCGGCCCCGCTTTTCCCGGGCCGAGACCTTGAACGACGCTACCCCCCGCCCGTATAAGCCTGGACCACCGCCACCGTTACTAGCCTCGGGCGAAGCAAACAGTCAGCTCCCACCTGTCCCAACCACGGCCAGAACAAGGTGTGGCACGGGGGGAGGGGGGTAAGATGATGCCGAATTGAGTCAAAAGACGACATGCACTTGTGACCAACATGTTTCTCCACATCCCACTTTCCAGACCCCAATTTGGGGGCTTAGGTACTTTGTGACTAATCGCCCTGATTTATGTCAATCCCGGGGTCCTGGTTCTGGTAATCCCGCCGAGCCCGTCCAACGACGCTCCGCGGTCAACCAGCCACCAGTCTGCCGGAATACAAACAGAATGACCAGCACACCAAAACACATGCGACCATACCCACTGGAGAACTCGGGATCCCGTCCGCTCTCCCACTGATAAACCAGCGAGGGCCAGAGTAGTAGTCGGGTCGGAGACGACCGGCGAATGCCTGGTGTTGCATGTTTTATTTTTGGTGAGATTTTGTCCATGCTTATTGTCTTATGGAGACTCCTAGGGCAAGCAAGTCAGAGGGTGTTGGTGTTGGTATTGGTATTGTGTGAGTGTGATAGTGATAGTGATAGTGTAAGGGAGTGTGTGTGTGTGGAAACAGCCAGCCATCACCGTGCCACCGCCCGAGGCACAGGAAGGAAGAGGGGGGAGGAACCGGAGACTGGGGACCGGGGAGCCCTCAGCCCCGGTCCGAAGGTGACTCTACCGCGGACCTGGAACCGGATTCTTCAACAAGACCGAACAAGTCTCAGCCCTATGGGCTTTGGGGGCCACGGATTGATTGGCTTGTGTGCGTTTGCGAACCAACAAGCGTCTGCTGTGCAGTTCCTCAATGGCGATAGGGCTGAGTTGCGTGGGGGCACTAGGGGGGTTTCCGGTGGGCTACGGCGATAGCCTAGTCTCTTCGATGGGACGCCTTATGGGCAGTGTATCGGTAGTTTCTCTTCGTGTTGGAGGGGGAGAAGCTTTACACATCAGGTTTTTTTTGGGGGGCCTCTGTCCCTTGTCTCCGGAGTGGGAAGAGGCCCCGTCTCACATCCTGATTAGGAAGTGATTGTGTGCCGATATGATGACCGTTATCAAGTCTGAAAGTGACAAGTTGGTCTGGATGTGATATCGCGTACCTTGGATGACATCAAGTTCTAGGCTTCCTCTCTGTCTTTGCTGAGCCTCGTGACTCGAAAGTCTGCTGGTAGTACGACTTAGCCCCTCAAAGGATGGCTATAAATTTCTCAGTTCCAAGCCGTGGCCCAGGAAACATTTGAAGCCCAAGACATTAAATCAACTCCTCCAGCTCTCTCTTGTCCACAGCAACCTCTTCTTCCCTTCAAAGACTTCAGTTACAACATCATCCAGTCATACTACTCCAGAGTCCAGACAACTGGATCTACGTTGGCAAGCCGTGGATCATGGCGTCCCCAATCACTGAGAAACATACCACCCAACACACCACCATCCAAATCCCAGATTTCCTAGCAGACTGGCGCCGACACCCAAGCTGGCCATCCCCCTACCCGCCAAACAACCACCCAGATTCCCAGTACATCAAAGCCGAATCCGAGAGCTGGCTACGAGGCTACTGCTACAGCAACGCCAAGCCAAACTCCATCAACAAAGGCATCAACGAACTCTTCATCTCCAAGATCATCGCCGGCAACTTTCCCGAGATAGCATGCATAATCTACGCCCACCAGCCCACGCGCCACGTCCTCCTCGCCGCGCTCGTCATGCTGCACTTCTTCGTCATTGACGAGTTTACGGATAACGTGGACGATACGGAGGAGGGCGAGGCGCAGGTGCGGAGGCAATCTGCCGCCATGGTCCGCGCGTTCAGGCATCCTGAGGAGGTTGGGAACTCGGCCACGGGGGATGATGATGATGATGAGGTGTGGGTTGGCGTCCGCATGGCAGCCGACATCGCGATCCGCTACCGCAGCGATGCCGTAGGCGGCACGTCCGACTCGTGGGATTTCTTCGTGGACAGTTTCGCAGAGTACCTCGACGGCGTGGGCGACGAGGTGGCGCTCCGGAGAACGGGGCCGAACGGGGAGATGGGAGGCCATAACTGCGTGCCGAGCCGGGAGGGTTACATCGCCGTCCGGCGCCGTACGATCGGTGTTCTCCCGGGCATGGCGCTCCTCCTCATCGACCGCACCATCCGCCCCAACTTTTTACAGATCCCCGCGGTGGACTCGCTGTTGGGTCTCTGCGTCGACATCATCATCAACCAAAACGACATTTACAGTTTCGATAAAGAGCAGGCCAAGGGCGAGGACGGTCATAATGGTGTGAGAGTCCTCATGGAGGAGGACGGGGTGGGTGCGCAAGAAGCGATGACGAAACTGGGCGAGGAGACTAGTGATCTTGTGAAGAAGTTTATTGGAGTTTGTGAGTGGCTGCCGACGTTGGAGGACGAGGTTGATGATGCGAATTTGAGGATCTTGCGGGACGGATGCGTTTCGTGGATCTTGGGGATGGAGGTTTGGTCTACGCTTGTGACCAAGAGATATGGGATGCATAGGTTGGATGGGGAGAGGAGGTATACGCCTACGCCGAAGAAAGGGAAGACGCAGTCGAAAGAGCAGGAAAAGCAACAGCAGAAGCAACAGGTTCAGGAAGCTCAGGGGTCTCAGCTGGCTCGGGAGGGGATGATGAGTTTGATGAAGAGGTTGCCGGGGGATTTGATGTCTTTGCTGAGGAGGATCTTTGGTCTGTAGCGGTACGATGTTGTTAGTCGGTCTGATGTTGGGATGTAGAAACAGTTTTGTTTAAGACAGCATTAAAAGTGTGTATGATCTTTGGTAAATAGTCAATCTATCGGGGTAATTAGTTCTCCAAGCGATGTTAGGAGTGCGATGTTGAATGAGCCTGGCTCTGGCCTCTTCACCGATTCCTGGCGTAATACACATGGTTTGAATGACTTTTTGAATGAGAGAAAGCAGGCATGAGAGACCAGCTTGTAAATTGGACAGGCCTTCTTTCTGCGGTGGAAAACGAAAATAGGACTTTTCTCTGCCGGGCGTGAGGCACAGCTGCCTTCGCTTCTGCGTGCCGCGTGAGAAGCATAACTCAAGGCCGTGTTGGTTCGGCCGCGTGCCGCAACAGCCATTTGTATGTCTTCAGCTACCCATTTCAATGGCAAGTGTTTGTGTCTGCTTTTCAAGTTTCAATACCGGTTTTGTCGTGGGTTGTTAGTCGATGGGCGCTTAAGGCCCAGCTCTGGCCAGTTGCGTGCGGTGACGCCGGCCCGGAAAAGCGGGGATCTGGCCGTTGATTCCCCGGCCGCCGACCTCAACACTTATTCTGGGACGGGAGTTACAGCAGGCTCGTCCTTACTTCTTCGGTTGCTTTCCGTGGTTCCGAAAACGTGAGGCATATTAATTCCTCGAACTGTTTTGAACTCTACACTCCGTTCAGATACCTCCGTTCAGGTACTGCCTCGGAGACTCGAAACCTTATTTGCCTTGGCATCCATCAAAGCCAGCCGCGATTCGATAATCTGAAAGAGAGAACGACAAATGTACATAACCCTTTGCTCCGACTAGAACTGTTGAATAAACTGGATCTCTCAAATATTGAGGCCCAAGTTCTCGATATCCCAGCCCGCGACATTCGAGCGACCAGTTGGGAGACAGCTTCAGCGGCTGCATCTTACTTGGATGAACTGTGCCCTCCTCTAGAACAGCGCAAAGAGGCGAAAGGCTACTTCTATGTCATTTGGAGCCTCATAACAGATACTGCTACCAGTTCTGACGTGACAAGAGAGACGCAAAATCATCTTATCAACATCCTGTTAGCATTGAAGCAATGTGCGAAAGGTGAAATCGACATCCGGGGTGTAAGTGTATTTCGCTACCCGATGAGCATCCAAAACTGGACCAAAATGACTTACTATTTGAAAATTGACAGAATGAAGGAGACAGACAACGGGTTTGGAAAGACCTGCCATTATTTTACACGGCCGTTGAGGCTTCTTTGAGTGGTAAGTTGCCATTGAACCACTATCGTCCCTCGTCAAGAGGGACTAGGCTGCGTGCGGACCTGAAGGCCTAACGCGAGATAATACCCAACCCAAGAAGCGACAACAGAAAGCTTCTCCTCAAAAGACGCACAAGAATGGCGCAACATCAACAGGTTCGGCTCTATGTTACTAGGAATGGGCGTCTTGTGCCTTCACACGCAAGCAATGGACGTATTGCGTTCGGCGCTTGAGGAGGAGCCGAGCCCCATTCCGGCGGTCGCAGAGTGCCGGCTGCGCGTCGCCTTTGAACGGATCCGTCAGAGCGCAAGGTCTCTCCTCCGGTGGGCGCGGGAGAACGTTGGCTATCCCGAGATGCCAGAGTACGAGAGCGGATTGACGGAGGAAACGATAGCATATCAGGGGGTTCTGTACGAGGGTCCGCCCATCATGTGTCTCCAACGGTGGGGATTTTGGATGGATCGGCTCGAGTGGCTTACGAAAAGTGATGATCCTGGGCTGATTGAGTAGGTAAGGACAGAGGTGCTGAGGCGTTTGGGATTATAAAGGAGGTTGAGGGGCGGATAGGACATACCCTGTGATGAAGCGACAATATGCCCAGCTTCCTGCCCCAAGTATCATTGAAGTTCTACTCTAGACTCATAGCACAGCTCAGACGCACGAAAGAATAGATGATTTGTGAAGAATAAGCAGGCTGTACAACGTCCGAGTGAAGCCAAGTCTCGTAGAAGTTTCCCTGCTGATTGACGTTTCTCTTTCACTTGCTGATACGAAGATTCTTGAGCCGAACAATCTTACCCTCTGCTACAATCGCTTTACCTGGCTGGTTCATATCACAAGGGAGCCAACAAGACATCATGGTGTCTACTTCCATGGCCGTATAACAGAGTTGACGGACCACTTCTCTTGTTGAGGACCGAGGGTGGAGTTGTGGTCATCGGCATTTGCTGTTGGGCGTTGCTAGGTGTCTAGGACCAGGCTTCGCGAGACAGCGCAAGTTGTGGGTGAATCGTTCTGTCAGCCGAACATCAATTCATGTTACGCAGGGCAACTTGGAGACAGAAGTCCATGTTATCAGATAGCGGCTGGTTGCTTCGCAATAAAAGCTGAGAGCGTAGTTATATCGTCCTGGCCGAGCAACGTGCAGGTCCTGTCCGTACACCAATTTCCCTTGCGGCTGCAGTATTCTTGTGACAGGTGATGAGCGTCGAATCTTGAGTTCACTCATATTTTGGTTGTTGTGTGCCGAATCTTTGGGATTCGAAAAGCCAGATCCGATCAAAAGGGAGCATTTTCTCTTCTGATGATGATCATGAGACGACATCACCAACCCCACCACGCATACCTCTTCTTGAAGGAAAGAGAGGTATTTGTGAGCCAAGCATGCGGATATCATGCACCAGATTGCCCCAGAAATTCGGCGTCAATATGGACAAACTCGATGCCGGAGCGCCGACATCAGCGTGACATCAACGTCTCCTCAAAACTTGTCTCGAAAATTCTCCGTGATTCCTGCGCATCAAGAGAGCGGGAAGCAAAGCAAGGGTCCCGCCTTTTTTTTCTTTTCTTCTGTCTCTGTTATTTACCCCTCTTCCCCATTTTCCTGCGACACGATACATACCATACAACGACCATGCATTAGCATGAACCTATTGATCCCAAGTTTTTGTTCTGGTTCCAATCGGAGGTTTTTCTTCCCGCCAAGAAATGATGAGGGAAAAGAGGACCGATGAACGGTGAGCCGTTGGACGGGAACCTAACCGCAACCCAAACCCAGCCAAATGTTCACGCCCCCTTCTCGTCGTGAGGAAGGCAAGGAAGAAGGAAACTCTGTAGGACGGCAAGTATGCTCGCCGTGTACCTCTACCAGCCCGTTTTTTTTCGGGATGCCTGTCCCGCTCTCTTGTTTTTACCCCTCCCTCAATCTCACCAGAAACTGGGATGAACAGGGACAAGGGACGGCCGATTGCGTGCGCGATATCGAATGGCCGGACTTATATCAAATCATCGTCGTCGTCATGCTCGTCCACACTTCTTTGGAACTCAAGGTGCAAGTCAGTCAACTTCTTTGATAAGCTTGCAAGCGGAGAAGACGAAAAAGTACACTGTGTGGTACAAGTACAGTCGATCTATATCATAAGCAGATCCCATATGTCCCCTGAATCAGCCATCCTTTCCCATAACTCCCGGTATTCCAGCTTCTTTTTATATTTCTTGAGCGGATACCTTTGCCCCCAGTATTCCTGTTGGTCGTCTTATCATTTCTGTGTGTGTATATATAATCCTGTTGCCATTGTTGCCTTGTCGTTCGTGTTTGCGTTCCGTCCTTCTCTTGTTCATCGCTGTTTCCCACCTTGTCATTTTCTTGGCGTTTCTAAATCATCATCATCATGTCGCCACGACTTCGTTCTTTCCCCCCCTCTTGAGCCTCCAGTGAGTATCTTACTGGTCATCAAAGACACCGTCATTGAGCTCGACCGTTCGTTTCGTCATCGACATCAAGCGCCGGGTAAAGAAAGGTGTAAAAAGGAAAGTAGCACGGATATCCACGGCCTGGAGTCAGCGACCAGTTTGTATCGCAAGCCGAGCGCGATCCATTGTCCACTAGAGAGGACAACCTCTATAATATCGCCCCCGAGCCGAGGTAACGGATAGGATGAGTACTGAACAAGGTGGATGGGAGAGAAGAAAAGAAGGAAATCCTGATGAGAGTGAGAGCAAAGGAAAGAAGAATGAAGAAAAGAGAGTCCATGTTGAACAGAACCGTGGAGGCAGAGTCAAAAGTCCTCGTCCATCAAACACCGGTACCAGAAGAAGGCACAACACGCAAACACCCAGAGGGCACGCATGCTATGCCCGCCCGCGATCTGCGCCATATCGATTTGCCCAGAAGGATGGCCCGCCCTAGCCCTCGCCGCCGCCGCCTCCTCCCGCCTCCGCTCCTCGTCCGCGAACCTCACACGACTATACGGATCCTGCGACGGGGCGTACGTCGGTGGCGGGTGCCGCACTTGCTGCTGCGAGGGCTGCCGCTTCACCGACTCCTCGGTCCCGGCGACGGCGGTGGCGTCCGTCCCGGCCGTGTTAGCGGTGCCAGCGGTGCCCGCCGTCCCCGGCGCCTGCGGCGTAACCATCTCCATCATGGGGATACGCCGCGGCTGTTGCGCCGTGTATGGGGTCGGCGTCGGTTGACGTGGTAGCGGCGGTGGGTGCAATGGTGGTGCTGCCCCTCCAGCTCCGGCGCCAGTTGGAACCGAGCCTCGGGCCCCTCCTCCCCCGCCCCCGCCTCCTCCTCCTCCGTCTGATGAGGAAGAATAGGACGAATAGTTGGAATAGATGGAAAAGGAGCTACGGTGAGGGTGTTGTCGACCAAGGACGCCAGAGCTTGCTCGGACGCTGGCTCGTTCACTGTTGCGGACTCGTCCGTTGTAGTTGAACTCCCGAACAGGACGCTCGCCGCCGTTGTTGAGGGTCGTCGACTCTGCTGCTTCTACTCCTTGCGCAAGACCTCCCAGTCCTGTTACGCCTAGCGGTCGTTGCTGTCGCTGCTGTTGCTGGTGCTGTTGCTGTTGCACCTCCTGCATCTGCTGGTTATGTTGCTTCTGCAGCTCTGAAGCTCCTGCAGCTGCAGAGCCGGACGCTCCAATTCTGGCGGAGAGTATACTTTGGAGGATAACATCTTTGATGGGGGTATATGCGATCCAAGGGGAGAAGGAGGAATAAGGTCGCCGCAGGCCTTTGTCAAAGGACAGCTATTGGTGACTTACCCTTTTCTTGATAGGGTAGGGTAAACGCGTACGTTGGGCCGCAAAGATCAAGTGACGTCGAAGGGGGGGGGGATGGAGGGGGGAAAGCGAATCTGTATCAAACAACCAAACTGGAGCCCCCTACTGACTCGGCACCAGATGACGCTCAGGGCAGGATGCACTCAACGTCCAGCTTTCGACGACGTATGACGAGCACGACGGATCTCGCACTTGAGCGTACGTATGCGGAGGCCCCGGATAAGCATGGGCGGGACCTTCTTCGTCGTTAAACGCCAGTGAGAAATCGACGAACCGGCGAAGACGGAATGTTGGTGACAACGCACACACACACACGCGGGGTTGGTGAAAGAAAGGTTGGCAGGGCTGGAGATGCTGGCTAACACGCCGAAGCTCCCGTCGAAAGGTGAACGACGTTGCCCGCGCATACCGAACCCATTCTCCCCGTCCGTTCAGCCACTCCCGCCCTTCCGTCCATACTTTCTTCTGCTCCTTCGCTGAGCCTCACTTGGGACGCTGGTTGGGCGGGCGGTGCACGGTGAAGCATTGAGACAGCCCCCTCCCCCCTCCTCTCTGACCTATGAACGAAACCCCCAGATTGACTTTGGACTTGCTTGGCTCAAGCTTCACCCTCGCAGCCTTGGCCTGTGGTTCTGAGGCGGGATTATGTTTCTTGCGGTTTCCTCGACTTGCCCACCTTGCCCCCTTCCCCCCTTCAAGGCGTGTAAAAGGGGCGGCTGAGCATTACCCGTACGTCATCGGGAGGAATAAGAAAGACGCAGAGAAAGGCAACGTGAAGACCTCTTGGAGTCCAAGTTGCATCCCAAGGGTCCGAGGGTCCCAGCTGCTTCCACGCAGCGTAGCGTCGAAGTCTCGATGATACCAATCATAGTTTGACGTGCCGTTTCTCGGCTGCGTCTACTGTAGCTCAGGGGAGTAGGCAATAGTAGCAGTAGTAACTAGCATCCCGTCCCGTGTGCGTGCTTGTATGTCATGGATGTGTACTGATTGCAACAGCATGTATGTAAGTGCACGTCTTACTCGAGATGTGCGTGCAGGATCATCACGCCAACACAGCAAAGAGATACACAACAAAAAAGAGAGCGGAAAGGCCTACATCCTTGCCATACTACACGAAGAAGAACGGCATTAAAGAAAGGGTCTTGGCTGGCTTGAGATTCTCGGTAACCGCCCGGCAATCCAAATGTTTCGTGCGTCCGCCGTCGTCTCGTATGTATGGCAAACGCACGCCCGCCGGTTTGCCCCTCCTTCGTTCTCTCACTCGGGAAGCGTAGTCTGAGCCGCAGGAGAGCAACGATGTTGGCGTCCGGCGGGGCTCTGGGGAAATCGGGGGAGGGGAGGGACCCGGCCGATGTCGACGATGCGCCGGCCGGGGCGAATCCTGCAAAGGGTCGATCGTATACACCGTCGGCGTCGGCTTCGTTTTGTTCGGTTTCGGAATGTGGGGACGATCTTTTCTACCGCTCTCCTCGTCTCCTGGGTTCAAGCTGTTGTACCAGTCCTCCACCTTTACCCGTGCTTCTTCTCCCCAATCCTTCGCCTTTTGGGTTTTTTTTTCTTTTTGCCACCTGGTCGAGTCAGTCACGACATGTCATCGTCGGAACTCTGCAGTACGTCCAAAACCGTGGCTTGCTTCTACGAATGGAAGAACCGAACCCCACCTCCCCCCCGGGGTTTTAATCGATGATGTCGCCGGCGGCCGAACCGGCGATTGGAAATGATCGGAATGGATTCCGCCAAGGGTTCACGGCCTCGGCCGCCCGCCGCTCGATTCTTCATGGCGTCTACAAAGTCTGCCGCAAATGCTCGGACGTTCCTGAGAGAAAGGGGGAAGAGACAGCGCTAGCTAAGCTGTCGTCCAACGTTGCAGGGCAGATAATCCGGCAACATGGTGCGGCAAAGACTCGTTCGAGATAGGACTTGACAAGTTTGACGGGCCACAGTGTGGTGGTGGTACTGGTAGTTCGTTCATCCCCCTTCTCCTCCCCCCACGGTACGGAAGATGACCGACAACTTGGACGCTAAGAAACGTAGCGTACGGAGAAAAGGACTTCGGTTTTTTTCTCTCTTGTTTTCTGCTCGTCTTTCTACGCAGTTCGGGATACAACGCACTACCTTAGTTCGTTTCTTCTTCGAGGCTTCGACCGAGAACAATAGCTTTCTTTCCTACATGGAGTCCATACCAGCCCCGATGCGTGGGGCCCCTTCTTTTTCCCACATTGAACTGCCGATCCGCCGATTACGAAAAGAGCAACGTGAAATGAACCTGCGGGTAACGCTGGTCCCGGCAGACAGGAAAAAAACAAAAAGGGAGGGTTAAAAAAGAGCGGTCACGGGCCATGCGAATGGGAAGTGTGGCTATCGTCGCATTGCTTAGAGATCCGGGGCATCTCCTTGTTTTTTTTTTTGGCTTTCTCCGCACACACGCACAAACACACACCTAGGCACACAGTCACACACCCCGGCTTTTGCTGATCAAGCAAATCACTGGTGCTGTCGATCCGGTGCTTGTTCGGCAACCGTACGGATTCATACGCAAATCGAACGGCATCTCAGAGAAGGGGCGTAAAGGGATAGGCAGAAGGGGAGACAGCCTGAGACTTGGAGAGAGAACGTCTCTCTAGATCGGAACCCCTAGAATGCCTCTGCCGTTCAGCTTTCCTTTCTCCGATTGGGCAAAACGTGCAGGAAAAAGGACATTGAACCTAAATCCGGAGAGCATGCACGCGCGTGCCACCAGAGTTCCCGGCATCTCGATCAGACGGCGGACTTCGCTGCCCGCTACACACGCACGACACGGAATCCGGACAAGTTCGCCTTTCTCCCATTTCCCTGCGCCACGTGAACGTCTCTGTCTGTGAGTACCTACATGGGATCAGATAATCAGGCCATAGAGGCTGTAAAGTGTATCAAGCAGCGCAAGAAACAGCAGGTCAGAACGGGCACGATGCAGCTAGCCTATAACCAAGCATGCGGTTTTAGTATCTTTCCCCCCTTCTGGCGGGCAGCCGAGGCTAATGTAATGTATACCCAACACAGACAAGAGCCCATCTGTGCTACGCTGGTCTGGACTCTGATAACCGCCGCCGCTGTCAACTACCTCTAGTCTAGAAGCAAAACACAATTTTCAAACCCGGGACTGCGGTTCTCATGCCCCGGTCCAGAAGGACTTATCCTAATAGGTACGTAGGATAGCAAGGAGTGTTAATTTGATGGGTCTCAAGTGAATCTCTTGGTCCAAACGCCAAAAGCCGTCTCCTCGAAGACGGACAAGGAGAAAAAGGGGGGGTTAGCAGCTGACCCAGGATGCGTGGATGCCACGGCACGTTTAGCTCGCACCCAGAAGAGCGGACAACCTGTCTTTGCCCAGTCTATAGGCATGACATGGCAATGGCGTGGCTCTTCGCCCTCCAGTAAGCTGTCAAGCAGCGACGCCGTGGACTACCTAGGTAGTTCGCCACAGACAAGACTTTGTTTGTGTTCCATTGTGAGACTCAAGCACCACATGGCTTCAAGCCACGAGCGTGGGAGAAATCTCGCCCATATGTGTGTGTGTGTGTGTGTGTGTGTGCGTGTATGTGTTCCTACTCGCGAAGGGGGCAAAGGAGGATGGAATCTTACCATCCATTGGTTGGAAAGCATTATGGTGGCATCCACAACATCGACGGTGATACGGAAGGACGGAGAGAAGAATATCTGCCGGCCACGTGGAAGATGCAGGACAGGACACAACGTGGCTCCCAACGGAAAGCCACAACATTCCTCTGTTCGGTTTCCCGGGTAGCTGCTGCATCCTGTTATGATTCAAGATACTGGTGGGAAAGTCCAGAAGCGTGATACTGTCCATCATTAGCGAAAGACTACTCTCATATTTCTATTTAGTCCAAAAAAGCAGCCGCCAAAGGAAGAAAGAGGGGGGAGAGAGAGAGGCAAAACAGAGACTGAGCCGGAAACGGGGTAGTCAAAAATGAACTATCATAGTATAGCATTGTGTGTCACAACACACACAGTGAGAAACCATCAAAGAATGTTCGGAAATGTAAGACAAGAACGGCATATTCTTTATCGAAACAAAGCAAACGAAGCCTCCCCCTCTCTTCTCCCCAGCCCAACCCACCGGCAAACCGTTTGCTTCATGGCACTTGCTGCGAGGGCTCAGCTTCCGTTGCATAAACACTCTTGTTACCCCATAATCGGGTCAAATATCACGAGATGCCGCTGAACAGGCTGAAAAGAGAAGCCCATCCCAACTTGGGTCTTTTCGAATCGGACGAGGCTGGGGAAGGGGGAAAAGCGAATTTGAGGCGGGACGAGGAGCCGCCCACCAGGCTCTTGATGTTGCAATTCATTCTCGGCCTGTTCGTATGTCTGCCGGGTCTTAGTATAAGCCGTTGTAACAATACAGCAACAAGCAGCTCCGCGAGACCAAACATGGATGAGAGGCTGTAATCTCACCAAAGAGATTGGTAGTCAACAAACCGTCCCGCTAGTTGGTAATGGGAGTGGGCTCCCGTTGCCGTTAGCCACGGCTGATGGCTCGGTAGCTTTGCGTGCGCGCTCGCAACTTTTGGTTTCCTAATTAAAAAAAGGAATGACAAAACCCTGAGCTGTGGCAGTAATCCCCTTGGAGAATGGGAGATTTCTTCTGCCCCCCCCCCTGGTTGCCGTGGGATTAAGCTCAACCTTCTAATGGCATTCTAGAACTTGGATAGAACCGTCCCTTGAGCCTTTCCCTTCCTGACAGGCCTTTGACGGGAGGACCTGACGGGGGGCTCGGGAGCCACGTAAATGCGGGTTCT